GTCAGTTCGTGCAGCCGAGTTCCGCGGCCCCGGGATCCGGAACCAGTTTGAGGATAACCCGGATGAATATGACCTGGAGATGGAACGTTCCCGTGGCTTCAGTGTCCGTTCGGGCCGCATCATCCTCCTGGGTGATGGTACTGAAGTCATCCCGGACCAGAACGACGAGGAACTTTTTGACCAGACCGAGGAGGACCAAGACCTTACCAACCAAGTGCAGCATGAATCAAGCACCCGGAACGACCGCCAGGCCACGCCAGGTCCTCAGGGGAAACAGGATAATGTTGGGAATTCTGCTCAAATATCCGAATCCCCGGCCTCCACTGACGCCGAGAAAGAGAAGCCCTCATCGTAGACACTTGAACTTCTAGTCTATCGATTGGGTCTTCCTTGTTTTGGTTTCTGGTTTTGCTTTCCTTGCCCATTTGTCAACGACCCTTTCCCCCCCCTGATTCCACGATCTATGCCCTGGTTTTTTTTCCCTCCCCCTTTGTTTTGCGCTTAGTTTATCGTTGGGCTCTGGTCCCGAGCCTGTTTACACCTTTTTTTTAACTTCCTTCGACTTGAAATGGATATTTGTCAGAGACAGGACATGCGGCAAAGAGACCCACAGGGAATTGAATGAGATGAAAGACAAGAGCTTTGAATTTCCATGGAGGGTGTTGAAAGAGAGCCCTTCGCCGGGAGCCAAATGGGGCCTTATGAACACGTTTCTTACTTTATGCCATCACCACAACGAGATACCGCAGAAAATGCCCGCTATTGACGAGCCATTTACACACTTCCCTCTCCTCTTTTCGGCTTCTTTTTTTTTCCTAATCCCCGGTCTATTCCCTACCTATGGTCATTGATCTGTGGTCTGGTCTATACGAGAATTGAGTACTTGCTATGCAAGCTGGTAGAGCTGGGTATTGAGATTTCGTCAGGGTGATTGGGCAATGGCAATGGTCATTTACATACCCTTTTGGCGTATATCTGCATTGAGCGTTTTGTACCGTAGATGTTCTATTTTAAGCAAAGGAGTTCTGAGAGATGTAATTTTTATTTTTTTTAAATCTGTAGAGTAGGCAAATATCAGGGGGTGAAATTTCTATCTTGAAACGAGTACGGAGTTAGCTATGGAGGATTATATGACTGATAGGAGTGAATGTCCACTTTTTTTTTCGTTTACCCCTGTACTTCGTACCTTTTTCCCCCTTCGAATCCACACGTGTTAAGATGCCAAGACTTCAATTTTGCAATACACATATATATTATTTGCATTTCTTTGTATTGAAAGATTCAACCCCATACACTCTTAACTCTGTTCAAGTGGACCTTTGGCGCTTACGACAGCGGAGTTGTGGCCCCCACTCTTTCCCCAAACAGAAAATTACCAGTCTCCCCTAAAACCGGGTTGCCGTCATTAAGGGTTCTCTACATTCTCTCCCTAATCCTCTACATCCACCCCCCCCCCCAACATTTTCATTCATTCCCCTCGGAAGAAATCCCTCTTTATTCTCCAGGGTTAACATCATGTCACCATCAACTTCCCCCGCCGCCAAGCGCAAGCGCAGCGCCTCCCACCTTCCCGCGCCCGTTCCCAAGAACGTCACAGACCTCCAGCCGTCCTCACGCGACGCGTCCGGCGAAGAAGGCGGCGACGACTCAGCTCCCAATTCCAACTCTCACAGTTCCAATGGTACCCGCCACGCTTCTAAGCGTGCCCGCAAGTCTGCCGATGCAAGCCACACCAACGGGGTCATCAACAAGGAAGACCCCGGTGAGCCATCTGAGACGACTGTCGCCAGCAGCGATATTGAGGGCCATCGGTCGCGTCCTGATTTACATATCGATTTGCCCGAAGATGATGAGCCTGTCACAGAGGAACAGATGGCGCCCCCAGTCTTTGGGCGCTTGCAGGATCCCGTCGGTTATAAGACTAATCCTCCCCCGACGGGTCGCCCGGTTCGCGTGTATGCGGACGGCGTCTTTGATTTGTTCCATCTTGGGTAGGTGATCACACGAGCGGATTGAGTTTTAGATTCAGATTCAGCCCCTTTCCATTTTGGGCTTTAGTGTAGCTCTCAATTGGGTAATAGTTGCTGACTATCACTCTATAGTCACATGAGACAGCTCGAGCAGGCTAAGAAGGCTTTCCCCGATACTTATCTTATTGTCGGTGTTACTGGTGATGAGGAGACACACATGCGCAAAGGTCTGACCGTGCTCAGCGGCGCTGAGCGCGCGGAGACTATCCGTCACTGCAAGTGGGTTGACGAGGTTATTCCCTGCTGTCCGTGGATTGTGACACCGGAGTTCCTGTCTGAGCACCAGATTGACTACGTTGCTCACGACGATCTGCCCTACGAGGCTGCTGAGGGTGATGACATCTACGGGCCTATCAAGTCGCAGGGCAAGTTCCTGGTGACTCAGCGTACAGAGGGTGTCAGTACCACTGGTATCATCACACGGTATGTTCCACCCATAACACTGGATCGAGCCGATCAAAGCTGACATGTATATTTGTAGTGTCGTCCGCGATTACGATCAGTACATCTCCCGTCAATTCAAGCGCGGCGCCTCGCGCCAAGAACTAAATGTATCCTGGCTGAAGAAGAACGAGCTGGAGATTAAGCGTCATGTTGCCGAGCTGCGTGATAACATCCGTAACAACTGGACCATGACCGGTCAAGAGCTCGGCCGCGAACTGCGCCAGATCTGGCAGAACAGCCGCCCCAACAGCCCCGCGCCCAGTGGCCGCAACAGCATGGACTGGGGCATGCGCGGGCCCCTCACCAGCCCTACAGGTGGCAGCAAGTCGCACCTGTCGCGTGTTGGTGCGGACATCCCCAACCGCTCAGATAGTCCCATGGGCTCGCGCCGCAATGAAGATTTCGCTACTGGTTACAGTCTCGGATTGATTGGAGGTGTTCGTGCTTGGGTAAGTCAATCCTACATCGCTAGATGTAGCTTTATTTAGTGGAACTCATACTAATATGCTTCATACAGATGGCCCGCAGTCGCCAATCCCTCCAGGATCACCCCAGTGGCATGCAAAGTCCCACCGACGAAGAGCCCGAATCCGAGCACGCCAATGGCTACGAGGAGGAGGTGCGTGGCCGTGCCGGTCACGTCTCTGCGAAGTAGATGACTTTTGAAGCCATCTAACAAACCTCCAGAGTGGTGAATAGGCCCATTCCTGTAGCCGCAATTTACCCTTCCCCCTCTTCTAACACTCCTATTCCTTTGCATATGTATCCATCTTTTCATCTTGCATTCGGTTCGTGTCTTATACTTTACAAATTGTGCCGTAACTGGCGGTTTTTCCTATGTCGGGCGCTTGGTGTCTTTTTTTTTCTTCTGTGTCTTTCTATGGGGCTGTATACCGACCTATTCGGTGATGCAGTTTTTTTTTTCTTTTTTCTTTTTTCTTTTTTCACTTTGATTCGGTTTCGAATCCTCCTCCCTTCCCCCTAATACTCAATGAACTTGTTTCCTGTTCGATATCTTTGTATGTGGCCTTTGATCAGATTATGATCTTGGTTTTGATCTTGATCCCAGGCTATATTCCCCCGTTTGTTTGTTTTTTTGGTGTACAAAAAAAAAGGTGAAATGGACGGTTGATCGGAGGTATACCTCGATCATGTCCTGGACTGCACATATAGATTGAGCTTTTGTTTCAGTTTCTGATTTCTTCAATTGAACTTTACAGTTTACTGGGATTTGATAGCGCATATAAAAGTAACCTATATAAGTCAGCCCTATAGTCTAAGATTCGCCACTTAATCGGAGATGTTATCCGACCTAGGTACAAAGGGAGTGTGCTTCAGTTATCTTCATGGCTTGGTTTCTGTCATTCAAACACTGCTGGTATTTTCCGAAGCTATTATACCTATCATTTGCGCAATGTCAGAGGATGCTATTGATACAGGGCTCGTTTGTTTTACCTGGGACCTTCTTTGTCCATAACTAGTTATAAAGTCAATCCCCCTTCTAGGTATTCCTCTATTCCATCTCCTATCAATAACTTCCTCAGCTATAATTATCATTAAAACATATACTCTACTCTTTGGTATGCTATTGCCGGTTCAGACTAAGATCTTAGTTTTCCAATTTATTTGCTGTTTTATAGGGGTATAAATACCCTGTTCATAGATTCCACAACACAGATCTCTCTTCCTTCATATCTCTCTCTCTCTCTCTCTCTCTCTCTCTCTCTCTCTCTCTCTCTCTCTCTCTCTCTCTCTCTCTCTGTGTCTGTCTGCATACTCAGAACATACCCAGTATTAACGCCATACAACTTCACGATGAAACTACCTAAAGTGATAATCGTATTTCCTCCCTGAATCGACTTCAATCTACAAGACGAAGACCGTGCATAGCTTTTGCTTTTTAGAAATCGCAACCAAGACGAACGATTTGTAAAATTCATGTGTCTACACTCTTTCAAGTCCTCATCATGCCGACATTGGAGAACTTATACGGTCAAGATATCCTCAGGCGAGAGGGTTATATTTTCTTCGATCAGGCGCACGGTACACAGGGATTGTGGAGAGCCCGAACACTAGGAGATGTACGCAGGTTCAATTTCTTCATCATATTTATCATTAACCGTTCCCAGTTCTTTGTAGATCTCGTATTCCAGTTAGTATTACATATGGAATGCTCGGGCTGTTGTCCCTGGTATTATACTCAGAGTATACTACAAGTTTAGTTAATACTTTCCTCTACAAGCAAACTGGGTATTATAAATCGATCACTATCACATTTGACAATGATATACGTGCTGAATATATATACATAGTTTGTAGGGTCAACATCAATCCTATGCGAAAGGGTATAGTCGGACAATGTGAAAGTACAAATCTCTTATGTACAGAGTACCCCTGTCCCGCCTGCACATGGCTTGTATAAGAAGCCAAGTCCATTAGAGAAAGGCCAGATCCAAAATTACACTCGGGAGTCATGGTGAGATATCCAGTGGAACATCCTAACCCAATGCTAGTCCATGCTCACCATTACGCATAGACTGTTCCAGCAATGACCATTTGGGCCCAGAAATAGAGCGCATAACCCACAAAGATACTAACAATTCCCCTATTCCTCGCTGCAGAAGATTTCCCAAAAGCATTTTTCGCGACGAAAAGGTCGCTTACAACGAACATTGCAGCCCCCAGGGCACGCGAGTGGAACCAATCGGTTGGCACAACCAACGGAGCGGTAGCGGTAGCAGCGGCAAACATGGCACCGATAATAACCGCATAAGCCGACACCAACGGCTTCATGTCAGGAGCGATATTGAGGTCCAGTACATTTGTCTGGAGTGAGTGATGCGGCGGGGGATATATGACACCCAACCATTTTGCAGCGGCCAGAGTAGCTACGAAGGTAGTTGCAAAGACCTTCCAGGATGTGAGAGAGGAATCCTGCAGGAACGCTACAGTGTAGGCTATATGAGCTGCGGCGAAGGCGACGATACCGAGTTGGAAAGAGATTGATACTTTTCCCTCTTTGTCGGAGGATTTGTTCAAGCCGTGGAATTCATGGTGCGAGGGGATCAGGAAGAAATCGCCTAGCAAGGAACAGCTCAGACCGATGGTAATGAGACGGCGATAGTCTGACCATTCTGTGGATGGTAGGAGTAATGGGCTGCTGAGGAAAGCAACTGAAGAGAGCATTTTGAATACTGCGGTACCCGTGTGTGATCTAGATCTCCATTCTGAGAGAACTAATAAGGGCAGTGAAGCCAGTAGGAGGCATGCTGAGGTTGAAATTGAGATATCCATATTTGTGGAGAGATGGTATGAAATGACATGGAGGAATGAAGGAATGAAGCTAGAGAGATATTGAGGGGGCCCCGGGTTTTGCTTAATAAGCTAAACCGAGGCACTATATTTGCTTGTGAGATTGTTGTTATAGTCCTTGTTTAGTATAATAGTGCATTTTTCATTCAAAAAGTACATTTTGATCTGGTAATAGTGAGAGTTGGGCTTGTACGGAGAGGATATCAAAGTAGACAAGTAGACACTAAACTGATACTCGGAGAGGGAAGAGGAATAAACACATTTCTCAGATCCTAAGAGAACCCCATTTTTTCTTTTAGGAAGAATTGTGACATGGGAGGATCTGGGAGGATCTGTCATATCTATATTTCAATTAGTAGTTGTGGTAGAGCTAGAGAGGTTGACTTACTCTGGAATACAGTAGAACTATAAGGGAAACAGAGTATGCAAACGATTGCAAATTGGGTATCAAAATCAAGCTGTAATGGCCAATCTAATCTTCCTCGTCTTCATCTTGACTCTTTTCTCCCTCACCCCACACAAGATCCTCCGCAACTCTTCCCTCAAAAGTCCCACATCTCTCACCAATTCCCCTTCAACAACCCCCTTGGCCAGAAGATCACATCTAGCCGTAACCGCCAAATCAAACTCCTTCAACCCCCTGACCCCAAGAATGGGCTTCACCCATCCCTCCTTAATCCCAAAGGGAATCCTCTGGCCAGAAACAATTGCTTCCCCAGTACTCCCAACCACACTTGTAAACCTCCCCAAATCCAAACTCAACCCCAACACCTTCAACCCCTCCAACGAAGCCACCGTCTCCCAAAATCGAACCCACAATTCATCACTATGCGTATGGGCATAGATCGACCCTTTATGATCCAACCCCGCCATAGGCACCCAAATCGGCATCCATTGGACAGTGAGTCTTGAGATAGCCGCACGGGCAGTATCTGACAAGGAGGTTGCGAATGCAATAAAAGTGTATAGATCATCGACATCAAAATGCGAAGATTCATAGAGGATCGTCTCAGCCTCGAAATAGATACTCCGACACACACGTAGTAGGGCGGTATTGCTATTACTTAGCAAGGAAGGGAGATGGGAGTGAGTGTGGGGGTATAAGAGTCTATCACTGTGACCTGGAACACGGCCATCGTAGATGCGCCAACGGGCTGGGGTTGTGGGGCAGCAGTGGCGGTTGTGTGTTAAAGATGGATTTGGAGTTGTGTTTGAACATCGAACATGACGAATTTTGCCTTTTAGTTGAACTAAGTGAATTGTTTGGGAATTGAGGACGTAAGACCAGATGATTTGACGGATTTCGGCAGGAAGACGGAGGAGGGGAGATTGGGATTGAGATTGATTTTTCCAATTTATAGGTGGATTGAGATTATTTTCTGGAGAACAGATTGCTCGTGATTGAATTAAATCACGAACTGTATCTCGCCAACGATGACCGGTTGGATAATAATGCCAGATAGAGTAGGGATCACGAAGGACCCAAGTATCGAAGTGACGCATATTTGAGAAGTAAAATAAAATAAAATATGGGGAAAATATGGGGCGAGTGGGCTTTTTTCTATATAAACAGGTACGGGGAGGACTTAAGACTAAAAAAGAAAAAAGAAAAAAAAGAGAAAAAAAAGAAAAAAAAAAGAAAAAAAGAATATAAAAAAAGGGATTACCCGGGTTGTAACCCAATGACGTCGAAGTTGTATTTTTTATTGTATAGTAAGTACAGTAAGTACAATAAGTACATACTATGTAGTACTATATTGTAGTACTATATAGTATAGACCGGAGCAGAGTGCTCCAGTGGCAAATTCTTAGGTCCAAGCACTTCGTATAACATATTTACATATATATTATATACTATATATACGATGCTATATACAATGCTATATAACTATATAAACTCAATTCCCCCTCTCTTCGTCAGTGGCGTCTTTATACCCAACATCACGATATTCTCCATTCCCAACATTCCTAGGACTCTCATGTGCAAAAGCAACATAAACTGCACAAACCAAAATAATCCCAGATCCAATCCAACTGATGGGACTAAGTGTACTTCCCCAAACAATTTTATCATAAAACACCGCAAAGAGCATCTGCATATAAACCATCGAGGTGGCACGTGCCCCCTGTGCCATAGGTTTCCCATCCGAAACAGACATAGGGGGGACATACGATAATCCCGCCGTCAACAAAAACTGCAACAAGAATCCACAGACACCCAATCCCGTCAACAAGGTCCACTCCACAACCGTATTAGGAATCCGGAATGGTACTGAAGGCACAACGAGCATCGCAACGAGAGAAATAACCGTAGTCACAGATGAGAAGTACGTAACCGAGACCAACGGATGCGCACGACGACCGATCATACGAATAGAAGTGTATGCGCCCGAAGCACCGAGCACACCCACAAAGGCGACAATAGTCGCCATGACATGATGGTAGGAGTCTGTCTCAGAAGGAGGTTTTTCGACATCCGTAGCGGACAGGCCGAGGGCCCATGCTGCCGCAGCGGTTGGGGTAGCGATCGCCCTATGTGAGGCGCGCACGCTGAAGGGACGGGCAATGAGCACGACGCCGCCGAGGGAGATCAGGCCTGCGAAGAGCTGTTTCCGGGAAAAGGTCTCGCCGGGGATGAGGAGGGAGCAGGCGTAGCAGGAGATGATTGGGGAGAGGAAGGTGATTACAGTGGCTTCGGAGAGGGGGAGGTATTGAACGGAGTAGTAGAGGCCGTAGACACCTGTGAAGCCGAAGATGGCGCGGAGGAGGAGAAGACCGCGGACTGGGCGAGTGCCTAGTGGGGAAGGGGTTGAGGCGATGTACATGTATAGATAGCTTGCGATTGCGGTAATGGACATGCGGGCGAAGAGGATCTTAGGGGAGGGGGGGGGGTTAGTGTAAAAGTGGTAGGAATATAGAGACCTTTCTATCTCTTACCTGGAAAGGATGCATAGAACTATGAATCTCCAAAACTTGCGTCATGACATTCATCGAGGCAGCGAAAGCCTGTGCCAGTAGGACAAGTCCCATACCCTTATTGCGCAACCACCATACCTGCCATTTATGGCGGGGTCGTGAAGCTGCCAAAGCGATGATATCGTCATCATCGTCGTCGATAGGACGAGGTTCTGATTGAGCCAATGCCGGTTCGGTATCGGCTTCACTGCCACTTTCACAATTGTAGTCATGTTCGTACCCGGCTTGAGTTATTGTTTGCGTTGAAGACGATCCCTGCTCCGATGACACAGATCCCGACTGCTCCACCCGGATCGGCAAGGGTGCATCTGGATGATCCTGATATTGGCCGACATCCGAGGCCGAATGGTGTGAAGTGACCATGCTGGGATGTGTGATCCTGGGGTCGTTATTGGAGAGGGCGGTCTTTGCGGGGATTTTGTGGGGGATCAGAGATGAAGATATGTAGAGGACTTGGTTTCTTTCTTTCTTTTGGGATCGGAATGCTTCTTAATCTATAAAGTCTGTACAGTTTTTCTCCTGAGGAGAATAAGTGCAGATAAATATATTCAGGTGGAAGGGAAAGATCTTATATGTGCAATGTATTGCCGATCTGAGATTTCAGCTGGGTGAGTGGACCCGCCGTTGACCGCCGCCTTTTTGTTTTTTTTTCTACTTTTTGCTTTTTGCTACTTTCCCATGACTTGCTTGTTCTTTGAATCGACTTGGCTCGAAATGGTTTGCAAATTCAGTTGCCTAGTATTCCGTCCATTTCTGCGTACATGGCTGCGTACTACCATGTACCCCCGGGCTGTTGCGGCACACGACCTACTACCTACATGGACTAGTTGCTAGCTACATATCAACATGCATCTAGTACGGATATTTATCCGCTTCCTTTTACTTCCTGTCATGTTTCGCTTCTTATAATCTATTTTCGATCTCAGCCCTCCAGGGCTGGCCCCAGGCTCGAGGTCGACAATATCGCTGACTAATCGTTGTTTCGAGTCGACCTCAGCTGCCCAGAGATACTCGGGTTTATTAGTTCATGGGATGTTAACAAAGTCATTCATCGCGAGTCCGTAGTAGACATAGCAAAGTAGACCATCCATGTGGAAAGTTAGGGTTGACATCTCAGAGCCAAAACCACACGGTTTGTCAGTATTTATAGATGCTAATTTACAACTGACAAGAAGAGTCGGCAGCTTATGCAGCCTTATCATGTCTTTTTGGTGGTTCTTTCTTGGTACATCTAAGAATCGAGTCCTAGTATTCTGGATACTAGCAAGGAGATTTCCAGCCGAGAATAAGAGGGCGGTCGTTACTCTTAACAAAAATATTCCGACAAGTAGAGAGTCTCCAACATAAATGAGGGAACCCTTTTGTAGTTATTTTGAGAGTTCTAAGCTGAGTATCATGACAGAATAAAGTTATTGCACACCACTCAAAATCAATGGACGAGCTCTGATGATGCAAGTTGTTTTTGATTTAAGTCTGACTTCAATGTAGTTACACTTCAGGTCGTCAAGTTGTGGAGAGATGAAGTCCCTCGACAAAAGTTCCTGATGGGGGCCGATTGTCAGATTTATGGTCCACGGTAGTTGCTGCTTTGCTGTCTTCATAGTGAGCAGCTTAGAATAGAGAAACGATAGCTTCATAGTATTGCCCCCTAATTCTACAATATTATTGCCGATTCAGACCTTTACGTCGAGAGAATTCGTTACTTCTTCTCTGTGTGGGTCGAATAATGATCGAATACATACACCTACAGTGTAGTATTCAATACAACTATAGTAAGTGGCTTCCAAGATTTAACCCAGCAGGAACTAAACCTGGATATATCCATGGAAATGTTGTACAACCTCTCAGGGCCAAGCCAATCATAATAAAAAATGAGATGAAATTATCACTTCGGCTCGAGCATACGACCCACAGTAATGAAAACGGCATATAAAAGATCCACTTCTAACCGCACCTTCAATACCACCTAGGCAGGACCTGTAAGGAAAAAGAATTGGGTAGCTTCAAGTTCTCTTTGATTGAATACATCATTGGTACAGGGGCAGTTATAATCTTCCTTTTATATTTTTATTTCATATGCCCCGAAGGGCAATATATCATTCCTCGAGTTTTTGCTATAACCTCAGACTCGGATGAGAAATTGTATGGAGGTAGGATATACCGAACCCTGATTGGTTAGTAAATATAGACCCGCTTTTACGCGGAAGCGGGTCTCGAACTCACGACGGTATTGGAGGAAATACCACGTGACTTACTAATCGAGTACTAAGCCAATAATACGCCGGAAATGGACCCGCTTCTGTATACCTTCAAAAATGGGATCTATAAGGAATTAAAAAAAAATAAAAAAAATGGGTAGCTTCTCTTTGATAGAGCGTGTCATCCTTAGTGCAGGGTCCATGCTAATCTTCTCTGTATATTTTCAGTTGACCGTATGCCCCGAAGGGCGAAAGGATATCCTTAAAGTGTTTTATAACCCATCTTCTGTGGCAAAATTGTACCGCCTACAATATAGACATAAGGTAAGGGATATAAGCACATGATATTGGGTTATACAAGACTGACTACAGGTGGGCTGGGCGTGCACATCATTTATTCCGGACATAGCAGACCAGTTGTTAGGTTCACAAGATGAAGTATTGGGCAGAAGGTTGAAACCGCTTTATTATGCATTCTCTAGATGTGATACCTCCCACAGCACTTGCTTTCCGCAAACAAATAGTGCAATTCCATATTACCAAAGAATGGCAACGACAAGCAGATGGTACATGTCAACACGATATCAACACGATCTCCATCCTTTTTAGTCACATCGATATAAAAACAAACCGACTTTTGGTCCAAATCAAAAGTGGCAGATCCCTTTATGTCTAGTATTGACTTAGCATTGGAATGATAATCCATCTCTAACGACGTTGTTGGATTCTCCGACTTCATTGCCATGGAAAGAAAGGCTTTTGATGTCCACCATCGTATCAGATCCAATGGTGGTGGATCCTTTGAGCTGATATTAGGGGTTAGAAGTAGGATTATGCTCAATTATTGTGTAACAATGACAGAATATGCACAATGGGGTGACTCATTATACAGGTTGCATAGACTATTAGACTTAGGCCTTCAATAGATGCCCTTCGGTCGGAATCGTATAGGGTTGAAAGGCAACCAGATCTTATTAATGCAAACAACATGATAGTCCTTAGTCTTCTTCGGTCTTCTCGGATCTCTTTTCTGGATGTACTTTTTCCCATGTCAGTATTATAACCAGGAAGACTGAAATAGTAGGTGGCCGCAAAAGATCGAATATAGGTCGTGAAATATGACAACAGCACAAATGAAGTGGTATGAAAGATAATCCAAAAGACTAAGCTAATATCTACCTAGAAAGGAATACACAGGCTCAATTCATACAAAGGTAAACGTATCACCTCCCTTCTCCCGCAACATATTACCAATCCTAGACGTACCAACAATACGCTCCAACTTCAGCGCATCCCACTTCGAGAATAGCGCACGCACACCACCCTCAGCAGCCTCGATCAATTCCGCGGGATCAAGACCCAAGTACCCAACAATCTCACCATAAAACAATGCGTTATCTGGGAGCCCGTACATGACTATACGCTTGACACCACGGACCTGGTAACGGCGGAAGTGGTGCGCACGCTCGGTATACAGTAGCACGGAGTGACGGCCGGACACGAAATGACTGCGGGCACGGTTAGCCTCCTTCGGCTCGGTGTACTCAGAGATAGCGCCAAAGGCGACATTGGTTGTCTGCGTAGAGGTGGCGAAATGGTTGCGCACGCGGACGAAGTCGAGATAGGAGGGGATGAAGATGAGAGTGCCGGAACCACCCTTGCCGCGGCCATGCGTGATATTTTTCACCAGGGTGGACAGGATGGTTGTTGTGAAGTGCTTGAAGCGCGCGTCGGGGTCCTTGATAGGCGACGTGCTATCGACGCGAGTGAATGTTTGCTTGACGGGAACTGGGAGCGGGAGCTCGGTGATGGCGCCGGCGTAGGTGGGGGTTGCCTTGAGACGGCCCGAGACGTTTTGCATCTGGGATGAGAAGAGGGCATTGATCTCGGGGGTGATGTAAGACGAGACTACTATGGTTTGTCGGACATGGCGGGCTTGGTTATCCAAGTACCAGTTACGGACGCGGCCGAAATCACAGCCGTGTGCTTGCTTCGGTTGCAAGTTCAGATGCTGGAAGATGTAGTCGACGTGGTCCCAGTTTTGCATGAGGAGGGCGTCGGCGTGATCGACGACTACCAGCTCGATTGAAGAGAGGAAGTCGTGATCGCGCTTCTTGACGTCGGCTTGGTCCATGATCGTACGCAGACCCAGTGGACTGGCTAGGATGATATCGGAGCTGTAGAATTGCGCGAAATATTTGACTGTCTTGCGCGTAAACTTTAGGCCCAGTCGGAACATATCATCGTCATTTCCGCTAAAGAGCTCCTTAAAGTCTTCAGTCTTATGCTCCCACGATTCATCATCTGGCGCCGAGAACGAGTCGGTGAAGCGCTTTTTGTTTTCTTGTTGTTCAGGCTGATAGATCCGAGTGATCGCATCGAGAACTTTAACACATGCCTGACGAGTGGGCAGAATGTAAAGCACTTTGGGTCGGGTAAATCCCTGATCACGACACTCGATGTCCGTGTCCGGGTCCTTGGCCAGACGGGCGTTGTTTTTGAGGACTTGGTCTCGGGTCTTCAGCAGGTGGTTAACGGTGTGCAAAGCGAGAATCTCGCGCATCTCATTTGCATTAGAAGCAGTGCGGGCACCATAGAGAACGTCTTGGTAGTCGAACACATATGGCGTGATAATCTGGGCCTGACCGGTGATTTTAGGCAGGATCTCGGCTGCACGAGACTTCAATTTTTGTTTAAGCTGCGCGATTGCATGTTAGTACTGGAGCTAGCATAAAACCTATGTCCGTTCCACATACCTTAATATTGGTTGTGCTCTTCAATGACGGAAGGATTGATACACCGTTTGCTCCCGTGTCGGGAACAGTATGTACTAGCCGTAGCCCATCCACTTCTTTCTTGACGGTGGCCCATTTATTCGATTGGATAGGCTCAATCTGCTTGGTCAAATCTGCACTCTCGCGGAGATCAAAGTGCTTCTCAAAAGCGGCAATTGGGTCCTCGTCCTCATCTACTTCTTCCTCTTCGTCATCGGATGGGGCTTGGGCCTCCAAGTCATCATCAGCCTGCTCTGGTTCCTCTGCGGGTTCTGCCATTTGAACCTCGGCATTTGAGTCGGTATTAATCTTGCGCTTCTTTCGAGCTGGTCCGCTTGACTCATTGGTGTGAAGTAGCTGAAGGAGTTCATTGTAGGGACGTTCGGTATTCTCGTCTTCGTCGCTGCTGGAGCCCTCGTCCATAATAGTGTCATCACCCAATTCCTCTTGGGATTGCACGCTAACATCATCTTCTTCTCCAGAAGAATCATCCGATCTAGTACCAATTAGATATAGTTAAAAGACTTTTTTTTATCAAACTAAGAACTTACTCAGATTCATTCAATCGCGAAGTGGCAAAGGAGCGACCACCACGGCCATGACCACCTCTACCACGACCACGACCTCCACGACCTCCACGGCCACCACGACCTCGAGCTCCTCTAAAAGAACCACCACGAGGAGCAGGCATTTTTGTGTGTGTAAATAGAAAAGAAATGGTTGAAGTTCTTCAATACAAAACCAAAAATGAGAATTTCTGGGTCTTATCTTATCTTAGCGCGAAATTTCCCACACACAACAGAATCGGAACAATCAGAGCGGCTCACTCCACTTCAAGGAAAAATTGAACCTCCGAGAAAGGCTGAAGTTTGGATCTTGAAACTTGCCTATTCCATCCCCATCTCCAAATTAATCATGGCCGAAGATTCTTTCCTTCATCTCGCTCGCCCCCTCGGCCCCGTTAGCGTGGGGACCGCTCCTACCACTGCCCCTCTGAACGTGGTCATTCAACCCCAGGTATGTTGCGAATGTGTATGATTTGAGGGGTAAAGCTCATTCTTCCAGGCAATCTTCTCCGTTCTCGATCACTCTCTTCGCCGTAATGTCGACCAGGAGCGTGTTATCGGTACACTGCTCGGAACACGATCTGAGGATGGAAGTGAGGTCGAGGTCCGATCTGCCTTCGCTGTTGGCCACTCCGAGGCTGAGGACCAGGTCGAGGTCGATATGGAATACCACAAGCAGATGCTGGCTTTGCACTTGAAGGCCAACCCCCGCGAAGTCCTGGTTGGCTGGTACGCCACTGCTTCCGAGCTCAACACTTTCTCCGCCTTGATCCAAAACTTCTACAGTGGCCAGGGTGATGGTACCTGGCCTCACCCCGCTGTCCACCTGACTGTCTCCACCGAGCCTGGAAAGGATCTCGAGACCCGCGCCTACATTTCCGCCCCCGTTGGTGTCACTGCTGAGCGTGCTGCCGACAGCGCTGCTTTCATTCCCGTTCCCTACGAGCTCCGATACGGTGAGGCCGATAAGAGCGGTCTTGAGTCTATCGCTAACGCCAAGGACGCTGAGGACCGTTCCGCTTCCGTCACTTCCGACATTGAGTCTCTGGAGCGCGCTATTGAGGAGGTTCTCTCCATGGTTGACCGCGTCTCTCGCTACGTCGAGTCCGTGATCGACGAGGAGACCCCCGCTTCTACTGCCATGGGCCAGTTCCTGCTTAACGCTCTCGCTCTCGCTCCTAAGGTCGAGCCCGCCGACATTGAGCGCGACTTGTAAGTTGAACCTGCATTATATTACTCGATGTTGCTTGTCACTAATTTTCCACAGCAACAACCACATCCAGGACGTCCTGGTCGTTTCCTACCTTGCCAACACCGTGCGCACACAGATGGAGCTTTCCACTCGCCTAGCAACCGCTCAGCTGACTCTCGGCGGCGGCGGCGGTGCCGAAGGCCCTGCCACTGGCGAGGGCAACCAGCGCAACCAGCGTGGCGGCAAGAATCAAGGCGGCCGCCCACGCCAGGACCGCACCGAGGAAGCCCGCGCATGAGAGGTTTCCCACAGCAAAAAAAACGCTGATGCATAATGTGACCAATTGCGAGAGGAGCACTCCCCTTCAAGTGAACGTCGATATCTCGTCTCACGTTCTCTTCCCTTCCTATCTCACCCCTCCCTAACGTTATTACTTTTGGGTCTTTCGCTTCTTTGTTTACTATCCCTCTACCACCTTCTTCCCTTTTTTTACCTTTTCCCTTTTTTTCCGGCTTCCTCTTTTTTTTTCCTCGCGAGGCTTACATGTTCTCTCCGGAGTTCACGGACTGCAGCCTAGTCGCGTCTCGTCAACGGCTCTCGGACTTGGTCTGTAGAGACACCCAAAGACGGTATTCAGCACGCGGTGTTATGGTGTTGAGACCGATTTAATATCAATACCATTGGTATAGCGTGCGGTTGATGAGGGTGACGATGCTGTTACCGTTCGATAGAGAATATTCGGGGGTGATGAGTCTAGACTGTTGAAGATGAGAGATGGATCTGCTGAGAGTCGATCTCTCCGGTTTACGAAGTCGCATCTTTCTAGGCGCGGCGTTTTCAGTTATGATGAAATGGACATAAAAGTTCTAGAGCTTCTTCGTATTTCCCACTATTTACTACTCTGGCCATAGCCACCACTGTTCACACATCGTAGACGACTACATGATCGTATCGTAAGAGTATCAACAGTCCAATCAAAGCAATATTGCGGGCTTCAGAATCAGTGTCTCAATCACAGAGATGTCTTCAAGTTCTTGCTCAATCTGTGATTGCTTCTCGACTACACAGAATACATGAATGGCTAGCCGGCTTATATTGGAGAGGAGAAGGTGACTATTAGTCTCAATGCCATATTCAACCGGAGGCAGCCAACTGAAAGAATTTGACCTTTTTTTTAGCTTGCATCTCTGCTGTATATATGCTACATAATATACGCAAATCATTCCTAATCTGAATTGTAAAGAAGGCCTAAGTTTAGGAAGCTCAGATTCCATCGAGGGGTCATCAAGGTTCTCAGCGACAAGAAAGTCCTTAACACTCACTGGCTCGTATCGCCCCCCCCCCCCCAAAGAGACAGATAGTAGATCATTGTATGTCCCTGGGTATCAGTCAGCCGGTAATCGAGGCCGCGTTGGATTAAGAAAAGAACCTGTTCCGGAGTGAGCTCTCTGCAGCTAGGTGAAGCGCTGTCTTGCAGCCTGGGGCAGTACGAACATGAATATCTGCGCCAGCTGACAGAAGTACTTTTACCCTCTGGACATCACCACTCATGGCGGCATATTGGGGTGGATAGATCGTGTTATATCGACTAGTATTTCCCTCTGAGTCCGCATACTTATTTACCTAGGTCGCTTTATACCACTTCTATTAAAGTTAAGGCTGTGTCTGTACTGTCTGCTGGTGCTATCACATCAGTACCATATTGGATAAGGTGCCCGGCTAATATAGGAGTGTCCTCTCTGTTATCTAGGTGGTGAATGTGCCTATAGCCAGCTACTAGGTGGAGAGATATACGATATCCTAGGGTTGATGCGATTGACGGATCCGCGCCGTGTTCAAGTACTTGCTTGTCGCCACCTGGTTCTCACACATAGCATAGTGCAATAGGGTCTAGGTATAACAGTCTATATCATTAATAGTAAGGTTACTATTATCGAATATCCATTTAAAGGTCAAAATATTGCCAGCTTCGTAACTGTCTCTCTTCGCAGTTTATATGGAGTCTAATCTCGGGTTACAATTCGCATGGATGGAGCCTACGATTATACGATCAGCGCACAGGACTTTGACCCGGACATCATATTCCCTGGGATTGTTACCCTCTACAAGCCATTCTACAGACCCAACTCACACCCGTACAAGAAAGCGAGTTCAAAAAGCAAATCCTCCGTTGCCTTACCACTATGGTGTATGGATCCAATAATGATTAAGCCCGCTAGATGCGGTTATAGCATCACATTAAAGCTTTGCATGGCCATCTTCCACGGGGAGAAGATACCCGAAGATATTGGAGAAACGAAGGAAGGGTTCTTAGAATTGAAAAACCATCTCCCACGCAATGATATTCCAGTTAACGTTTCCGCAGTTTTACGAAGTCGCCATGAAACTGTCCGACATGCTAAAGCTACCTCGTGTATGATCACGCAACTTTGCCTTCATAGTGAAGGTATTAGTGAAGGGATCATCCTCCAGGCCCATGGAATTCTTACGCACAGAGTTGACGCTGAGACCACTCCCTGGGAAGAATACAGTGGTGTCTATCGTACGGGCGAGGTCTCCGCGGCTCTCCATCCGTTCCCTCATCACAGTCTTATGCCCTACAAAATGAAAGCAATGGTCTGCGAGCTGCAGTCTGACCTAAAAGAAACCATTGCTAAAGGAACGGTTGACCCTATCGCCATTGCTTCGGAATATACCCACATCTTCGTTAACATTGATCCTTTTGTTGACGGCAATGGACGTATGTGTCGTCTGGTATTGAACTCGATACTCCTCCAGCTTGGCAGCTTTCTTGCATGCATCGGCGAGAAGGAAGAAGACCGCGCCCTTTACTTGGAATTTGCCAGCAATGGAAGTGCACTTGAGGATATATATGGAGATCTTGAGGAGGATGAGAGACCGATCATGCACAAGGAGCTAGGAAGTTTTATTATCCCGCATGTTAAGAAGAGCATGGGTAAGGTGATGATGCTCTTGTAAAGTAATACCAAAAATGGAGTTTATCTTTCTTCCTATAAGTGGAGGCTATCCTGGCTATATATGTATGGATGCGGTCTATGGACAGCCTATCTTGTAGGTTGATATATAAAGAGTCAGGGCCATAGCATCTTGCCGGTTTCAGGGTCTGTATGGAGTGAAAGTTCACCCGTTAAAGGGTGGAGATTCTCGCCTAGCTCCATTTAGGATGTGAAGTATATATATTACCCGCATCCGCCCATGTATTACCCAAAATGGCCAATCTGCATATTGAAGACAACCTTGAGTAGAATGTAACTTAAAGACTGAATAGCCAGCCAACCTACTGTGCCAAAAATGAGAGCCTGAACCAGAAATTGGCAGAGAGTGGAGAGCTGGAGTTTTATGGATAGGTAGGCACCTAGACACACATTTCCCAAGCGTCACATAGAAAATGGATATAAAACAATTTTATGCCAAGGATGTTAGCAATCAGGCACTTTGGCGGAGTGGCCTAACGCGGTGCCCTGCTATGCATGAAAATGTAAGCCTAGGCATTTCCTTCGGGAGCGTGAGTTCGAATCTCACAGGTGTCGTTTTTTTCCTTTCCTTTTTTTTTTTTTTTGGAATCCCGCGCTCTTTCTCCCAATCCTCTGCCGGGGTTTGGCCCTACACCGGCCTGATTATTCTTTCACTCTAATTATGATTTTGACCAACTCCCCATTTAATCTAGACCATTCACCCACCTATAACTAGATAGTACCTGTGATAAATTTAGATTCAATGGGCTCTTGGTCGCGCCCCATCATTGCGACTATCAATCTCAATATCCCCCCGCTCCTACGTAGAGAGAGTAGCCATAGAAGTGGTAGTAGCAATATACTGTTTTTGCGCCCGCTGAATGATTCGGCGTCTTTTATTATCATCCCTTATTTTTATATACCTTTTAATATCAAAAATTGCCTAAGCACCCTATACATTATTCTGTCTTTTTTCCCTTCTTTTTTCCCCAGCAAGTTTGGTGGTCTAAAATCTTGATATCATTACTGGCGTACTAAGTATGTAGTTATGTACCCGCTTATATTATATCATATACGCCTAGTTTATACATACCAAGGGCCTGACCCACTCTATAGTTGGTATAGGCAGCGACGCAGAATTTGGATACTAGTATAGTCGTTATCTTAGTAGTTAATACAATGTTAGTGGTATCTCAAGGTATATACCTAATGCATTGACATATCCTCCTAGGGGCCTACACGGATAGTAGACTCAGCAATCTAGCAATTGATAGGAAATATCGAATTCCCCTGCTATTTTCGCGATTGTAGGCTTCCTACTCAGTATATAGTTTAAAGTGATTCTAATACGAGTTTCCAATTTTTAGCGTAATTGAAGCATATCGGGCGGTATAAAGGTGGATTAAAAATGGTGAGTTGATCAAAATAAGATCTAACAGCCGCGTGCTGGATGGGTATAGAAATTACTGCAAGTTAAAACAGACATGCAACAGGCACTTTGGCGGAGTGGCCTAACGCGGTGCCCTGCTATGCACGAAAGTGTAAGCCTAGGCATTTCCTTCGGGAGCGTGAGTTCGAATCTCACAGGTGTCGTTCTTTTTTTAATATGTTTTTGGTCTCCCTCTTCCCTCACATATGCTGTACAAGAAGAAATCACTCCTATCAGTGGAAAAGTCAGCAATAACCAAAAAACCAGCCCTTGAGACATGATTTTTATTTTACAAAAATTACAGCCCCCCCAAAACGGAGTCTCCCTACCCACATAAATTGTACATTTTACTGGGCGGGCCATAAAAAAGGTACTATAAAATAGTTTCCTCAGCTATATACAACATACATTATAACCTCTAGGTATAAGCGTAGATCACTAGAGGCTTAAATTTGAAGTCACAGTAATGAGAGAGGTCTCTGAAACCTAGCTAATATCTGAATATGTTATTTCTGAACAACGGACTCGTCATTAAAAGACTGTCGTAGTGCTCAAAAACCGCATTTATATGTAGTATATGTACTGCGTACTCCGTACTTTCGTACTCTGTACAATCTGTCGAGTAAAAGGTACAAATTGTGGATCCTGCATGGGGGCTTGGCACGGTTAATTGAATGTTTTTAATCCATATATAGAAAGCGGTCTGCAGAGACAGATGATTCATATCGTATAACATTGATGTCTGACTGTATCATTATCTGATTTGATCAAAAATCACCCCATTCGTGACGCCCCTAAACACCAAGGAAGATAGACAAATGATAACTACAAAAAAGCAAAAATACAAGCGACACCTGTGAGATTCGAACTCACGCTCCCGAAGGAAATGCCTAGGCTTACACTTTCGTGCATAGCAGGGCACCGCGTTAGGCCACTCCGCCAAAGTGCCTTAATGCTGACATAATAACTTATCCTTCTTTTGATATCGAGAAATGCATAGCCCTAAGTAACTAACATGATCTACTACTCTGAAGTTCGAAGGTGCATTTTTCTTCGGGCACCCTTGAAGCTTAGTCTCAAATAGACCATTAGTTAGTTAACTATGTTTCAGTTAGTACAATTGCAACTAACTTACTCCGTAGTGAATGATCACCTATGTTTAAACATTTACATGCCTCTGAGAAGCGATGTAAACTTGTGTATGAAACAGCCCGTAAGAGAAGAAACATCAAAATGAATTATCAAATTCTATTCCGGTGGAATAGCTCTCTTCTTCGGGTTCTCGGTGATTTCCTTGGCAAGGTAGCGAATCTGTGGGTTCCAGGCCATACAACGGTTTTGTGGAGCTTTTTCTCGCATCCCAAGGAACATGCTGCTGCAACCTCAACGCAGATTTTTTTTTGCTAGTGACAACTGAAAAATGCCGATGGTTATAATGCAAGAACGGAATGTTGACTTTAGGCTTTGCATCCCATCTGGCAGAATAGCAATGACCACCAGTTCTTGTGATTTGACAAGTTCTCAACGTTAGGGGTGGAGTACGCGAAGCAAGGATGACACTCGGCCCTCATATATTGAAGATATTCTCAATTTGGCCAACAAGGCACTTTGGCGGAGTGGCCTAACGCGGTGCCCTGCTATGCATGAAAATGTAAGCCCAGGCATTTCCTTCGGGAGCGTGAGTTCGAATCTCACAGGTGTCGATATTTTTGCCCTTTTTTCTTTCATTCTTTTTATACTTGTCACAAACATACTCGAGAAATTTGCTAGACTATAGGCAAAATCTGGCTTACTGTACAACATACAAAAAGTGTGCAGCCAGTCACGCCAGGGTAGGAATTTCATATTAACAATCACAGCAACTGTACAAGAGCTTTGACTATTGCCGCCATCGCTTCGGTGTCATATGAGGCAGTATGGTATTCCCCGTGAGACCTTTTAGCTCCACCCAAAAATTCGTGTACCGACTGAAGAGTTGTCGAAAGGAGACCAGGAAATAACTTTCCACAAAGGATTCCGATGTTGATAGTTTGGAAATTCTTGTGGCCTTCGTGGGAGATCTTAGGTTGTACCAACTCATTGCACCCAGTTAAGATCCTGAGGAAGCACTGCATGTCTTGGGCAGCAAACCAGGATAATATCTTAATATCATCTGGGTTGTAACTACAGACTTTGATGATTTGGTCTCTAACCTGGAGTGCCGTCTCTCCGTTGGTACTGAGCCCACGATAACATCTCAGAAAAAGAGTTCCCATCATCCCATGCTTGCCTGATACGTACGAGGATGTCACATCCATGAATTCCTTCATAGAAAGCCCGTAATCGATATTTCCTTGATATAGCAACTTCCCATCTAGCTGTCTGATTGCAAGCTGTAGTGGAATGGGCGAATACCTTTTCGGCATAGATATGTACTCGAAGTCCAGAATCCAAGTCTTTTCGGGCCGCTCATAGAGTACTTTCAGTTGCTGTAGGATGTTGCGAGTTTGATCTGTAATGTTCATCTCTCGTTCTTGCTCTCGATGTGTTGGTGGATCTATCGGCTCGACGGGGTTCATCACATAGTTGATAAGCGACCTGGAATGGTGATGGTAGTAGTAGGACGTCGGGACCTCCTGTGGCTCTGGGCACGTGTAGTACAAACATCTTTTCTCGCCATTGATGTGTGCTAGGCTCTTTCGAACACTGAGTTTCAATGCGCGCACGAGTTTCTTGCGAAACTCACGTTCGCAGGCGGTATGAGCATCTTGTTTGAGCGTCTCCTCGATAGTTTCTAATCCCAGTCCCCTATCTGGATACGGGTCGGAAACTTCTAGATGTTTAGAGAACTGGGAGAGGACTGTAGTTTCGGAAACCTGGGAAACAAGAGTGAAGTGATGTGATCGAGCGAAACAAGCTGGAAAGCCTGCACTTCCGGGATGGAGAAAGACACCTGTGGCGCTTTTGTGACGATTTAATCGACAATTGATTCTATGTTTGTGTATTTCCCGTATATCGGAGTCAAGGTGTCTCTTGAACGATAGCTGGAATGCAAGATGGCGCTATAGAGCGTCCATGTTGGGGAGAAGCGACGAGGTCTCCATGAATGCGACCCCAAGAAGAGCATCTCGACGTCTTCAATGTACAGCACCGGGCACAGCCTGAATTTCTCAAAAATCGGCTGAGATTTGCGGTAGAACTCTTGGGAGTACCTGATTGCGTTCTCTCTTTCTTCATTCCTTTGCCGTTTTCGCGTCTTGCACTTTAACATCTCGTAGTCCATTGTCCAACCTTGAAGCATCAGTGTATTTGGAATAACCTCATGCCTAATTGACCCCCGAAGGCAGAGCGACAGAAGTAGCAGAATCTTCGCTCCTGTACCGAGTAGCAGACTCATAGCCCAGTGTATAGGCGCGCCTTCAAAGGGCTCGCTATAGTCGTACCCAATTCGAACCGGAATGGCAGAGTCAAGCTATGAGAGAAGTGTTAGAGAGTGCTGTTCCCAGATACGGGACCTATAGCTTACCTTATCGCTGGCGGCGACCAAATGCTCACATACAAGACTGACGCATGCTCCCAGTTGTTCGTAGCAGGGTGTACATCGCCCGAGTCCAGGCTGTCGGAGACTGTAATTGGGTGCAATGTGGTATAATAAAGAATTGACCTTTTGTACCGTTGGCCTCTCATTTCTTAGACCATGTCCTGGTAAGCTCTCGAGACAAGGGGCAGCAGCTTCGATAACGAATTTTTGGGGCTGTGTCTCCAAATCTGAACCAGGTTCACGAGGGTGTCCAGGATGCAAAGTGTCCTCCGCGTGTCCGAGAAATTTATAGGCATCCGCAAAGCTCTCAATCTTACCTCGACGCCCCCCTTCGATGCTTATGAACGGTACCGGATGGGTAATGGGATGTAACTAGATAGTTTGCTTAGTATACGGCCGATGATTTGAGAACAATTTAGGGGCACCTTGTAAAGATCTTTTCCCTTTACGTATTTCTTTGCAGAAAGTTGCTCGGGTGTCAGTCTGAGAAAAGGATAATTTCCAGATTTGAACCGCTCAGACACAGAGGCAGATGCATATCTTTCGCCATCATCTCTGGAATTTCCGTGTCTCATAGATGTGATCTTTGTTTCTGCCTTGACCCATCTCTCCAACGTAGATTCGCTGATATAAAGTGCCTCAGAGGCGCTGGCAATCGAAAGACTGCGTTCTTCGCCTGTCTGGGGGTTGATATGCACATGTGTCCGGTAGAACTCAATAGCCTTCAATCGCTCTTCCCTTGTGAAGATTTTCAGTGTGCGTTTGTAGAGACGACTCGCCAGTTGTTTGTTGCCAATGCCATCAATCATCTCATGCTGCGTTTCCGCGAGTGTTTTAACCTGGCTAGAACTGTTGGGGTAGTCACGCTCTTCTGGTAGAGTTGGACTCAAAGATCGACTCTTGGTGTTTTTCATAATGCGGCTGCTAGGACTCTTGACTTTAGAAAACTGCTTAGAGATGAGTTTTTGGTTTTAGCTTTCGTTGTGAGGTGATGGAGCTAGGTGCTAAAGTCGTTTCCAGCTCAAAAATTAGATAAAATAACACCATGGCAAACCATTTTCCTATTCTTCCAAGGTTATCTTTATTGACTATGTAATTATTTTCATTTTCTCAGTCATCCAGTCTGCATTAGGCAGCCACGATTAGATCTAGTAGTAGATAGCTCCCCCTTCTCCTTTTTCCCTTTCTCTTCCTTTTCTTCTCTCCTCGTCCGCTTTTCATCTAATACAATCGAGTTAGAAATCCATTATGTGAAGTCTAACCCGAACGAACCTAAGCAGACAATATCTACCCCATAGATATCCTACCATATTCCCTCCAACCTCGAGCAAATCGGTACAGGCCCTGAAGAGCCACGAAGGTGATACCGATTTCTATCGGAGAAGCAGGATCTGACAAGAGCAGTATTGCCAAAGACGAAATGCAGCCAAACAAGGAAAGCGGCAACAATGGAAAGAATTTCACTGTATACGGTAAAGATTTTATCTTTGAAGGAATAACCGTGAGAATGAAACAAAAGACCGTTCCCCAAGAGGGTGATCGCGACAAAGTTAAGTATGGGGTTGATGATTTACTGGAAGCAACTGTGCACGAGATACAGCAGCTTTTGGATCGTCGGCCAGTAGTAACTGTTAAGGTATTGGTTGACTGGATGAGCTCTACAAGTCGGATAGACATTGAAAGAGCGCTACCGTTCTGTGGATACATGTTTGAGAATGGTCCATGGAAGAAGGCGTTGATCAAATTTGGTGTCGACCCAAGGGCTAGACCCGACTTTCGTTATTATCAAACAGTCACCTTTGAGATGGATTTCAACCCCATTGTTGAACGAGGAGAGCACGACTGGGAAAAGAGTGGAGAGCTTGCCTTCCCACAATTACTCAAGGGGGATGATAATGTCCCCTATACTTTCAATGGGAGGAAGTTTGTGCCGGACGACAATAGCTGGCAGATCTGTGATATTAGCGATGTGCTTCTACAGGGCATCGTAGCAACAAGCGACATTCGGTCGACACCCACTCTCAATGAAGGCTTCTTCTGGAACGGAACAATGGCAAAACTGGAAGTCATTATGCGTCACAAGATTGTATGCATAAGGGACGGTGGTATACCTGACGATGAGGACTACGGGTGTCTTCTATCTTTCCCAGACAAGTACCAGCCGCCAACCGGGCGTGATCACTCTAAGTATGGCTTAGAGTTTGGGCAGAAATATACCCAGAAGCAGGCTTATCTGAGAGGTCGAATAGTAGACAGGGCAAGAAGAGGTGTACACTGAACAGTGAAGGGCACTACACTTTTACCTACTCGTCCAGAAGATAAAACCTGTTCACGGTGAATAATTCATTGACACATTAGAATTACTGTTGAGTATAGATAACTTAGTCTTAGGGGTTAAACAAAGGGAGTCATAGTACTGGTAGTTGCTATGGTTGATTTCAACCCTTCCTTTTTTCTATACATATATGTAGGGAGTACTCCATAGATTGATGTTTATATAGGTGGGGAAGGAGGCGGATGGACCTAAAACCATGTCCCACTGTATCCGGGTGCAAATACTCATGAAATATGATTGTATGTTGTATGGGGCTGGTCATGGCGCAAATCATAGAAGTACTGTGTAGCCAGAGTTGTTCGGGGGTTGTGTTTTGTACTATTCGGACGCACGACCTAACGGGTTGAATGCAAAAGAAACGATTTAGGTACTTTATCTATAGGATACACATATAAGAGGTACTTAAAAGCTGAAAAAATTTAAATGTGAATATCTCGACCACACCACTTTTTAACTGTTAAATAGATATATCGTTAGGTTAATATAGGCTGTATATTATAGTATATAGGATTTTAAGATGAAATAAAGCTCTGTTCTAGGGGAATGCTTTTCGAGTCATTTTACGCTACAACTACTACTCCGTACATAGTGTAGTTTCGTGCCCTCTACTTCAAGACATTCTTTCTTAAAAATTTATATAGTATGAAAAGTAAAGATAGTAGGCTAGGTTATGAACATCTTCATCTTTCTATAATTAAATAACGTGGTTGAGATATTCACGTTTAAATTATTCTATTTTTTAAGTACCTTTTATATGTGTATCCTATAGAAAAGGTACCTAAATCATTTTTTTTGCATTCAACCCGTGCGGTCCAAATTCCGACCGGAATTGGACCGTGCATTGGGTCAAGTATGGCGATATCATAATACATACGGAGTAGCGCACATATTGAAAACCAGTCAAATATGACTGATCATTAGTTTCATTAGTGAAATCGTTATGCCATTAGTGTTCTGCGTTGATTAAAGTGTACATGTTCAGAGATTGGTCTTGCGCTTCTTTGGAACCGACTCCTCAGTAGCATCGGAAGCACGGCGGACACCTCTCTTGCCCTTGCCCTTGCTCTTCTTGACCGTAGCAGCCGCAGCGGCTTCAGCTGCAACAGGATCCTCACCAGCAGCAGCGGCAGCAGCGGCAGCGGCTGCACCCTTCTTTCCAGCCTCCTTAGCAACCTGATCATCATTTTGGTCAAATGCCTTGCGGGCTTCCTTCAATTCACGTTCCATGCGCAGCAGCTCCTGGACACGGCCAAGCTTGTTCGGGTCGCGACGTAGTGCGAAGCGGAAGTCTTCAACTTTGATCTTCTGTCGGCGGGCGTGATGCGCAACTTGCGCGGCACCGTGGCTGAGTTCCAGCACGAAGTCGGTGACAATTTCGTCCAACACACGGACTGTCTCAGGGAGTGGTTCGTTTGGGAAACTTGGGTGTGGGCTGGGGTCGCCATAAGCGAGAAGTAGTAGGCGGACTGTAGAGATGGTTAGTATTGAAATTGGCTTGAGAAATGTATGTGAGCTGTAGGAACCTACGCTCATTCTGGAAGTTCATTTGACCCTTGTGTCGGGCCATACGTGCACGTGGTTCAGCCATGGCGGACTTGGTTGCAGAGCCTTTCTTGCCCTTTGTGGTTGGGGTAGTTCTTGTATCGAGTGGCTTGGGAGTCCACTGAGGTTCGTATCCGGCACGGATTAATGCTGTGTTTTGCTCATCGAAATCCCAGTTAGGCAAGAGCTGGGAAACAAGATGTTGGGAGCTAGGCTGGCGCGAGGGATTGCGAGTCGGATTGGACGAGTCAGTCTTCTGAGTCGATGAGGAATCGCTCGGGTTTTGCAAGCATGAGTTTGTAGTTGGTGTGACGGTGTTTGGAGTCTGAGAGGATGTATTTGGAATTTGCAAGCCACGGTTTGGAGTTGGCGTGATGGGGCCTGGAGTCTGGAAGCGCGCGTTTGAAGTTACAGTTGACGGCGGAGTTTGCAATCCAGTGTATGAATTTGACAAGACACGCGGAGTTGGCGTAGAAGAAGATAGCGGCTCTGGGGCCTCGCCCGGCAAGCAAAACGATACCCGCTTGCGCGGATGGTCCGTGCGGTTGGCGGACATGATGGGCAGAATATGCTAGACTGGGGTTGGTTAGCAACTTGGCACATGCAAGCTATCTGGCAACTTACTGTCGCAACTCTTCTTTGCCCAAGTGAAGGGTGAAAATTTCACTGCACAAAATGGTGAGTTTATGCAAATGGATCGATTGATGGGAGTAATTGTGAATGTGGTGGGGAGGGAGCACATGCCACTCTGCGTTGCGTCGGAACCAAAATGGCAATATGATCACAATGTGCTAACTGTCATACTCACCCAGTCTGCTCTTTTCAACTTTCAGTCATTGCTTCTTGTGATCCTCTTGATAATCTGCACGAGCAGCTATGCACACTCGATAATGCCAGGGATCATGGACCGGAACCAGAATGGGTAGGTGCTCACTTGAGGTGGATGGGGGATGAGAGATAGTGGGAGACTGACGGTTGTTTGATACAGAATCTTTGGGATATTCTGGAAGTGTGCCAGAGTGGGAGAGAGACTTAGTCCCTATGTCAGCATATGTTGTGTTGTCATGGCAGTAAGTTCCTTACTCAAGTCCAGATGTATGAAGTGAGATACTAATGTTGTATGTAGGTCTCTATCTTCTTCGGTGGATAATCTTGCTTGAATCTCAATCGGTGTTTGAATGGGAGAGTTACAATGGAGATCAATGGGTTGCATTATCTATTCTCTGACCTCGTGACAATCAACCTCAAGTAAGTTGAGGGTGAGGATTATGAGATTACTATTTCCACTCCATGTGACATTACCAGATGCAATGAGATATTCAGATGAACAAGTTCATGATGATGCAATGTATAGTACATGATATCCAAATATACAAAAAAAGTTCAAAGCCACTTCTTCAACACCATGCGTCTAAAATGCTTCCAGGTTGCTTAGCCCACAAAAAGGCGACAATAAAAGACAAAAGGGTATCCTATCCTACATTTTGGGTTTCAACTTCGATTCCAACTTCTCCAAGCCACTATCGATGAGCTCGTCACGCTCCTGCTGATCATTGTGCACATCAGATGCGCGCTCAAGGGTAAGAAGCTTGCGGGCTCCATCTGAATCGAGACCCTCATCCATCTCCTCGATCGCCACCCAGAGGCGCTCGGGGTCGCGGAGATAACGCAAACTCTTCATAGTGTAATGGTCAATGGCAAATCCTTCCTTTTCCATCTTCGTGATTGCATTAGCGGTTTCGGGGATGTCCTGTGCATTGGCGAATCCGTTGATGATGGTGTTCCAAGTCACCTGATTGTACTGCACGTTGTGCTTAGCCATCATCTCTTTGACTTTCTCAGCTGCATCGGGCTGGCGACTGTAATTGAAGGCGCTGAGAAGGATGGTCCAAGTACGGGGCGTGGGCGAGATATGCTTTAGAGGCTTGCCAGCGGTAGTCTCTTTCGGCATGGCAGATGTGTCAAGCATGTCTTCAACTAGACGTATGCTTGACCGCAATCCACGGCTGCTCTTGCGGAAGGCGATGAGAAATTCATTATAGACGTGGTCGGTTTCGACCAGAGGGGCGATGGATGGGTGGCCCTGCTGTACGAGCTCACGGAATCTGTCATACATGTGATGCACTTGTGAGATCCGATTCCTACAGCGGAAGAATGTTGCGATCATAAGGAACAAGGATACCGGAGAAGGTGGGATTTTGACTTCAAGTCCTTGAGTTGGCGGCTGTGTATATTGGGGAGGGAGCAAAAGAAGTTCTTTGAGCGGTGTGATGTCGTGGATCTTGTTGTACATGTCGAGCATAGAGTAGAAAACTCCCGAGGGATCGCTCTCGGGGTCAATATGCTTGGCGGTGAAAGTGAAATGGGCGTGGAAGATCTTGCTGAAAATATATGGGTTCTTTCGTAGTTCCTCTTTCAACTCAACTTCCCGTACCAACTCGTCCACACGACCCCGGTCGCCTCGCGATACCGCGTCAGTGAGGAGAGTCAAGTATGTATAAGAATCGAATTCGTGGTGGTGATTCTTCATGAACTGAAGCATGTCCGACCCCAATTGAGGATCACCGGTTTTGTAAGCATTGGCGAGCACGAGATTCATCATGTCCCGGTCTGGCTGGACACCCATTTTGAGAAGCCGCGGAAGGATCCGGAAATTGCGTCCTCCGGCGTTATCCTCGACAGTGTCCAGGGTGAGGAGCTTGCAACAGTGCCGTAGGACTCCTTCAGAGTTCATGGAAAATTCAGGGTCATTGATTTTGGGAATGAATTCGAGGGCTCTGAGGGCATATTCCACATCATTCAGCTGTGTGAATCTGTACATGTAGCAGAGTGCTGTTTGTGCTTCCATCGTAATGCCTCGCTCGTTCATTAAACGAAAACTCTCGTAGACACCTAAAAAGCCTGCTCGGCGAATATAGAATCGTATACCCCTTTGTGGCGGCGAGACAATGGGCCAGTCCTTTGGATCTAGGGAAGTTGCAACCACTGATTCGAATGTGTGGGCACCCTTCTCCCAATCCCGGAGCTCTTCGTAGTGGAATCTCTCCAAGTACGCCAAGCAATCGACGATCATAGTCAAATCTGGCTTATCCCGTGGCTCGGTAGTAACGAGTAAAAACTCCAAGGCCATTGCCGGGTTATTTTGTAGTAGCCAAATGGCCAGGCGTTGCCAGGCCCAGGCCCTGGTAGAACGGTTCATTGCCAGCCATGCCTCTCGAAACTTCCCTTGGCAGTCATCGAGAAGAACACCTAGCAATTGCTCACCATCTTCTCTCAGTTTTGGCAATGAAGATTTGTGCAAGACCTCACGGCCATGTGTCTTGGCCTTGTGAATCGCTCCATATGCCTCCTTCCACTGACGGAGTCCCAGCTCACGCGTGTATAGTGAATTCATTCGCATTGCAAGCGCCAGATATAATCCCCGATCGGTCAAGTGCCTACCCTTGTTTAAGATTTCGCGGTTGACTCTCTCAGCCGCCATGGCCACAAGCTTGGGATCAGCATGTCGCACATAAGCAACCTTCTTCATTTTATCAGTCGTTATGATCGGTGTCTGTGGTGACCTTCGTGGTTGGGATGAAGGTTTTGATCGGCCATCGCCCATGCCGTACCGATTTGTTGCGACTTGATCTGATTGTTCATTTGTCGGCGGATGTGAACTGTCGGTTGAATTTCGGTTGTGTTGATATGATACGGGGCCAGGAGAATCATGTGCCACGCCAGGTTCTAAGATCGCTGGAGCATTGTATGTGGAGAGGCGCACCCTATGACCGACATTCGCCGTTCCCGACTCCCGATACAATCGGCCTGGAGTCCGACATTGTTGTGAGAGCAACCCGTTGAGACGGGACCGAACGAGTTGGTGTGGACACGATGACATTCAGGAGCTTGTATTCGCAGACATTTGTGGGGGGGAAAGACAAACGCAAAGAAAAAAAAAATAGGTCAATTATAGCGCGTGGAGAGAGAAGTCAATCCAATGCTGGACAGAAAGTTGAATTCCGCCATTCCGCCCGATTTTGCCGTGGCTAGTGTGTGGCGCACCACATCTACTTTTATCAGCTCCATCGTCCTTCAACTTCCAAGCAGCGGAGGAGCCTGGGATTTTCTTCCGGTCACTTCAGTCACTTTTCTTCCTTATACTGAAGCCCATATATCCTCTCCGTCGTCATTTCAACCATCACTCGAAAACATGTCGTCAAACCATGCCAATCTTGATGCGGCATCTATCGACCGCAAAGCCCGGCTCGCCAAGCTGGCAGCTCTGAAGCGAAAGCAACCCGAGCCAGACACAAAGGAGACTAGTGCACAAGAACAGGAGCTGCCCGACGCCGATGCCAAGCCAGACGTGACCACAAAATACCTGTCTGGCCGCAACTACGACCCCGAGACCCGCGGGCCTAAACTAGGCTTCGAGCAAGGCCCACAAGAGGGCCAGGTGACGTTGGAGGCACAGGCAGCTGAAATTGCAAAGGCCACTGCGGAACAAACCAAGCAGGATGCAGGCGCCGATGAAGCCATTGATTTGTTTAAACTACAACCTAAGAAACCCAACTGGGACTTGAAGCGCGATTTGAACGAAAAGCTCAAGACTCTCGATGTACGGACGGACAATGCAATTGCCCGGCTCTTGCGACAGCGGGTAGAGGATGCGCAGCGTGCTGCAAAGGCACGTGGGGCTCAGTCTAACGGAGACGAGCAAGGAGAGGAAGTGGGCATGGAGGGCGAGGCGCTCGTTGAGGGCATCCATATGCGCGAACGAGAGGAAGAGAAGAGCGATGAAGAAACGATTTGAACGTGATACCCTTTGTTGCAGGATGTGAGCGTTGTCTAGGTCTTCTACCTCCACCTATAATTGTCTATATTCTGTTCCATTTAACTTATTCCTTTTTTAGGTTGTCTTGGTTGAGGCGTCCAATTGATGCCATGGGCATATTGCGCACAAAAATGAGGCGTTAGGAGGTTTACAATTGAAGATTCTCAATAAGCATGTCCATCTTAGTGTCGTTTACAAATCATTGTTGACTTTTTTTTGGGTTTCACTGTCGGGTGACAGATATTTCCAAACTCCACGATGGAGATGCTAATGATACACTTGGTCATATAATATATTGATGGAACATGAATCAGCATGTCCCCATCAAGATCGTGCGCCGTAAAAAAAATCCCCATTTTCAATTCAATTTAACGTCCGTTATTCATGGCTTGGGTCAAAGCAAGGCGCTTACTGAACGGACTCAAGCTTCGTTCACGAGGAGGCTGGTTCTTCTGCGTTATGTGATCAGTCCTAGACCGTCCAGTCTGAGACTGGCGTGGTGGGCTTGCTCGATCACGGTATGAACGGTCCCGTGGAACATCTTGAGTCGTAACACGTGATCCTTTCACTCGCTCCTTATCCACACTTTTGCTTCGGCGGTCTCTTCGCTCGCTATGTCTTCCTGCTCCACGGTGCCGTCCTCGTTCATCGGGACTAGATTCTCGTCTCCGTCGCCGAGTATTTCGGTCGTCAGTGCGCTCTCGGGAGGGTGAGCGGTTCTTTGGTCCTGAGTGAATTGACCCAGAAGAATCTGCTGTAGAATCACTGTAGCGTCTCTTTCGGGACTTTGCAGGTGGTGATGAATCATCTCGACGACCTCTGTCAGATGTGCCGTGCTTGTTACGGCGGGGAGATGAGGAATAGGATCGATTTGTGGATATCGTTTCCACTGAGATGGACCTGGCCCGCTTCGGAGACTGAGCGTTGCGATCTGTCATATCTTCAAGGTCTCTTTTCCGGCCACGCTCTTCCTCCCGTGTAGCAAGTAATTCATCCGCAACACCCTCTCTTCATACAAGTCAGCGAGTATTCTCCAAAAAATAAGCGCAGAAACGACAATTGTCAATGTAAACTTACTTCCGCAGCAGCTCATTTGGATTTTCGCTGGAAAGCTTGGGCATCAGTTCTGGGTTCAGTAGCTGCTGAGTCCTTGAAGGTCGCGGGACATATGGGCGTTCTTGCGCCGATGCCTTGCAATCAAAGCTATAGTGTCGTGGATCGGAGTTAGTTAAACGTCTGAAGAGCATGTGAAAGAGGGTACATATCTCGTCCGAGGCATTTTTGGCACAGTGTGCTCGCGGTGGCCTTGTTGGAGTTGGAGCCTCCGAGCTTCGGGGCGTTTCGATATCGGTTCATTGGAGTTTGTGATGTTGTAGGTTCTTGTAGAATCCTAGATTGAGGGGTAGTTGAAGTTCGAAATAGGGATATTAACACGCCGAAGATCAGAAGGATAGGCAAAATTCGACGTAAAGGTGATCGGCGCAAGTTGGCGGCTGTTAACGTCTGAAGCCTAAGGGAAATTGTAGGCGCGCGCCAAGGGCGGTCGGGCGCGGCATAATGCCCACGAATCTTCAAGAAGTCAGAATTCGGATTCCCAACGCTCCTTCTCGATCTCGGAGTTCATTGTCAACATTCACGTCATCCATCTCGGACGGATGATCTAGAGTTGATCGGCTCTTTGAATAGCCACCGGATTTGGAGAATCCCCCTCAAAACTCAATACGAGGTCTTCATCTCCCTGACGATGAGCCAGCTTTAATATCATGTAAGGCACCGTTGCTTGATCTACCTAGATCTTTTGCTTCGAAGAAAAATATTCTCCTCGCTGGACCTATGTGTCTCTCTATGTTCTACCATGCGTGGTGCTAATGCGCATTTCCCACAGTTTTCTCCATGGCGATTGCCCTACCCCAGAGATATGTCTTTCGTTTTGGGCTTGTGTGAAACGAAATTACGCAGCGACTTTACTTTCAATCAAACAAACTTCGACCTTATTCACATTTGCGAATCCGAAGCGTGCTGAGCGCAGCCGTCGCTTGACTTGATCCCGGAATTTTTTTTTGTGAAATTCAAATAGTTACAGCGACCATCCCGCGGAGTGTTGTTATGGCATCCAAAAGTCCCCCAGGTGGAGACGGCCCGCTCTCCTTTGCAAAAGTAAGCCAAAATTCTGCTCCACTGCCTCGTGGCATATTGCTAATTCCATCACAAGATTGTCGCTATGCCCGCACCCCACAACCCACATTCTTCCCCGGTATCTGATGAAAACGAAATATGCCAGCCAACAGAACAACCTCCTTGCTCAGAAGCAAATGGCTCCGGTGCAGATATGCCCAGCCAGCATAATCTCGATAAAACACCAGAGGCTAGTTCCATTGATCTAGCCGTTGATGATCTAAGGAAAGGCGTGCAAGACATTGGCCTCACCTTAAAGAAGCACAATGATGGCTCAAGCTCCTTCACTGGCCAAGACAATGACTTGATCAAGCAGGAGAACTCCTTTGAAGATGATCGCACTCACCTTTCTACATCATCTACAAAAATGACCAACTTCGATTCCAAGAGTCTCGCCTCGGTGACGACATTCGCAATGGATGAAAAGGACTCTGTACGTCCTGATGACAGTGCTAGTGTCCAAGCCATTGATGAAGAGGAGTCACTTTCCGGACTTGCTTCTGGGGCTCCGAACTCACTGGCAGGCTCCGAAGCTGGCAGTCGCGTGTTTCGGGATCAGTATCGAGACGGCATTCCTACACGCCCACGTGGTATTTTGCCCGTGCCCCCTCTCTTTGACAGCACCCAGCCAGTGAATGGTGCAATACCTCTAGGTTCCGTCGCGAATAATTTCGTGGTTCCAGCCAACTCCGATGGCATTGAAGATGGTCAGATCTTACATGGGTTTCCCCTAGAGCCGGATGAAAAACTCCTAGAGGCAATGAAATCACCGAAAGATCGCCTTCTGATCCTTCAACTTGAGGAAAAAATTCGGTACTTCATCAAGGACTGCAATGAGCAATCCCTGGAGTTACCCCCCTCAAATGCGTTTGGGCGACTTCTTGCACACAAGCTAGGTGATTACTATCACTTAACACATTTTGTTGACAATAATGTGACGTCGGTCAGGCTTCATAGAACACCATTCTGCCGGCTACCTACCCCTTTGTCTGCTGTGCATGCTGCTTGCAATAGCACTCCGCCCCCAGCTGTTCCGGCAATGAAAATCATGCGCAGGAACGATGGAGGGCAAACCGAAGGAAGTATTGGAGGTTCGTCAAACCCATCAAAGGCCAATTCGGAAGATGGCGATAGTGGTCCAGATGGAGAACGCCACGGGTCTTCATCCAGCGCTACTCCCGCTAAAGATCGAATGGCTTTGACGAGGGAGGAACGGGAGGCAAAATATCATGAAGTTCGTGAACGAATCTTCCGTGATTTCCCCGACAGTGCCAAATCGGATCCGGCCAGTGGTGACTCGAATCCCAACATGTCACGCTCCAGCTCAACGAATGGCCGCAAGAAGAACCAGAGACAGCGAACTCCTCATGATGACAGCTTTGAGGTTCGCTCTCAGTTCAACGCCTACTACCCAGGGATGCAGTATGGAAATGGTGGTGCTCAGTACAATGCTCATGTAAATGACAGCTCATACCCAAACCAAGTTCCTTACTTGGTAGGACCTGGCGTGCCGCTACCCTCTGGTGGTTACATGCCATCTGGCCAGAATGGGGCCATTTTCCCTGGGCAATTGAACATGAACATGAATGGTGTCTCCCAATATCCAGTGGCAATGTCGCCCCAGATGGCCTCCAATGGCTCGTGGCAAGGAGGAAACATGCCGCAGCAATCCCCATATTCCGGGTACGCTTCAATGAACCAGCAAGGGATGATGAACCAACCATCCTCGAACGCGTCCTCACCGGCAATGAACAACTATGCCGTGCCCAATGTGACGCCATATCAACAAACCCCGAATTGGAGCTCGCCTCCTTTCCCCGCAAATTTCCAGCAGTCCCCGCACCAGCGAAATGGACCGCCTGTCCACTGGCCCAACTATCCTCAGCAGCCAATGACTTCCAATATGCCACCCAACATAGGCTCCAACATGGGTTCCAGCATGAACTCAAACATGGGTCCTAACATGAGCTCCAATATCCCGTCCAATATGGGCGCATATCCTTATGCTCAATACCCCGGGCAACATATGAATCCCGGTCTTCAGAATAGTGCTGGATCCCACGCAGCAATGCAAGCGGGATATGCCAGGTCACATTTCAACCCGCAGACACGATCATTCATCCCCGGTGGTGCTCCTCCCGGACGTCACCCGAACAAAGGCCAGCACACGATGCAGCCGTATGGTAACATGCAACCTAGTATCCAATCACAATCACAATGGCCCGGGTATGCGGAGCCTGTCCCTAACCGGACCATGGACCAAACCCCTGGTATGGTCCCAAACCGTGTGCCCACCGGTCCTCGAGACTCGATTGCGAAATGGGGGACTCCAGCTCATCTTCCCCCCAAACCCCCGCCATCCGAAGTCCCCTCTGAATTTGACCTGAAAAACCGGCCCGCTCCGGCCTCGGCTCCAGCACCAACATACAGCAGCAATGGAATTCCAGCCGTTAGCAATGGACCACTTGTGGTCTCGGGAGGCACAACTGCCTCCAAACCAAATTAAAAAGCTTTATGGTTTGGTCGCATTTCTACTACTATTTGTGTTGTATCTGTTTGTGATATGGTCCTTGGACCTTTGGATGTTATGGAGATAGGAACCGTTGTCCCATATTATATGGGATATGCGACAGCTGTGTCTCCCATTGCATCTACAGTAATACAATGCATGGCGATCCGGGTTCTTGTGTGTGTACCTCTTCGCTCTTAGCTAGTCATGAACCAGCATGTTCAACTGATTGTTTTCTTACTTGCCTACTCTATATCCTAGCTCCAGAATAATTTGAACGGGCACCTAGGCTTGTAGTCGTAGACCAAAGCAAAAGTTTCTCTTACCGCCCAGTCCATATAAGTTCTATCAGTTGGGCGGGTTGGCCTGGTATCAGGGCTTGACGGCAGGTTGTGTCTATATTGAGATAGTGTTAAGCATTGAACCTTCATTCGAAAAAATATAAACAGATTTTGGCTCTAGATAAATCATAGCATTCAAAAATGGTTATCAGGGGTACCCGAGATAGCCTTCTCAGTTCCTGTCTTCCCTTCCCTCTCCGTTTCTTCCTATAGTACATGCAGCCAAGATTTCGCTCTTCTCAACTCTGCCTAGCATTCCTTAAAAATATGTAATAAGGAATGGGCCTCCTGATTCAAAGCATCCATGCTGTCATATTCTTCACGCCAACACTTTCCGACGATGCGACCACAGAAAAGATCATCCGTAGGAGGAAACGATTCAGGAGTTGGCCAAGGTGTATTAAGCCGATTGAAGAAACGATAATTATGAACCCGCCAAGTAGCAATGGAGTAGATGATCCAACCAAGTTGAAGGATCTCAATCTTAGCAGTCATCTCATCCTCGCATACGGTATCCATATGAGCCGTTGATGGCAACAAGATAGACTCGGAAAAGTTCGTAAGCTTTAGTTCATCTTTGATAACCAAAATGTTGCTGAGGTAGATTTGATTTATAAACACTCTGCGAGAGTGCACATATGAGAACGTCTTGGTGAGAGAGAGAATCCAATCTATCTTGAAGGACTCTTCTGCCTCCGGGTTGGTAGCGAGATAAGATTCAAGATTGTTTTCTTTCGCGAAGGCCACCCCAGTCCTATATTCAGAAGGGCAGGGTGGCGACACGATTCCTTCATTGTTGCCCAGGCGTTCGTGGACCTGTATCTCATGTCTCAGGGAGTCATAATATTCATCAATCTCAATCGCACAATGAGTCTCTGCGACGAGTTGCTTGAGCGAGTCTGGAGCTGATACTGCCAACTGAAGGTTCTTGAAGCTTGCGATACTACCATTGTAGGATATACCGTCCTCTTCGAGGTTTGGGCCCGAATCTGCAGAGTTTATCCACAGGTGTGATGGTGGATGTTCGAACATCTTCAGTTTTCGTGGTATCTCGTACGTGACCCCGCGCGGGAAAGGTATGTAGCCACGTTGAGGAATCTTAGCTTCCAAGTCCTGGATATAGTGGGGGTTCCGGCTATCGCGAGCATCTTCTATGATTTCTGTATCGGGATCTGCATCAAGGAGGTCATAGAGATCCTCGTAGTCGGCGATGATGCAAGTTCTTGCAATAGCGGGTTTCATCGTCGGTTGACGCCGGAACAGCTCTCGGAGTACCGACTTTCGTGGGATGGATGGATACCAGATAAGATACGGCAGCTCGTTGTCAAGAGTGTCTGAGGTGATACGCGATAGATCACCATTCATGATAAAGCGGGCATGAATAGCGGCCTTAATGCCATTGAACTGGAACGTGGAGTCCTTTTGGAGTGAGCACCACGTGGCAAACATGGTGTTGTTATAGATCCCTCGTAGCAAACAATCCAGCTCTGACCGGACCGCCTCGGGTCGTCGAAGCCGAGCGTATCGATCGACATCACCGTAGAATGCCGCAGTTAGAATCAGCAGGTCTTTGTTGAGAGTTGGAAGGTCGACTGGAAGTGGATTGTAGAGCATTGGTAAGATCTCTTCGTCTTTAATCGCAAAAGGTGTTGTCTCAGGGTCCGAGTCGGACTCATCCACTCGCCGGTCTTCAGTGATATCGCAATTATTATCGTCCATTGCCCAGTGGAGGCCATGGTAGCTCGAAGACATCAACCAATTTGTATTCGAGTACCATCCCTTGTCAAACGTGAATCGAATATCGAGATATGACCGAATGACGGTATCACCATTCAAATTTCCAGAAACGGGAGTGAGGATCTCTCGGGTAAAATCATTCATGGCATTGTACTTGACATCAGCTTTCATGATAGCATCATAGATTGCTATGTGACCGCTCTCACGTGCTTCCTCAGCAATATGACATTCAGGCAGCAGATCCAATTCGTGAAAAAGATCAGTATAACCTGCCACAGCACATGCACGACCAGCCAAGTACTTCATATGAGGGTACCGCTTGGCTAACTCGCGATAAGTTGCCTCTGACGCTGTATCGGGATGCCAGATACAGTATGGAAACTCTTCTGGGCATTCCGGGTTCATATCAGGTATTACATTGCTCATGATACTTCGTGCATTGAGGGCACGAGTGAATTCCGGAAGGAGCCCATGGAGCTCAGTCCCGAAGCCATGATGATATCGGATACCACGAATTACACATCTTCTTGTTCTCTCCTCACCAAGGGCTCGAGGGATCTTCTGACCCCGCAAGGCTTGCACAAGGTCGTCATTCTTCACCTTCTTGATGCGAAGGTTTATGTGATTAAATGTTTCCATTATGATAGTAAAAAAAAATGTGTGCTAGAGTTCAAGGAAAGACCATAAAGAGAGAAAGGAGAGAATCCTACAAGATAGGTGGGTCATATTTGTGCCTAAGGCTGATGTATAAAAATCCAAGATAAACCGAATCTCATAACGTTACATCGTGAATATCTCCTGCCAAGCACTTGGCGGGGTCCATGGCGTTCTATGTCTGTAGATCTCACTTTTACAACGGCCTGCTCGTTCCTTTCGCTAACCGGGGGGTATTCCGTCGCATTTCGCTAACCGCAACGAGCTTAATATAGACCTATAATAACGCCTGGCTCAACCCTGGACCTAATATCTAAAAACCCAACTAGGCGAGACTTATTCCACTTTTGACTAAATTTGATCTTGGTAAAACTTTTGCCCGTAGGTGATAAAGCTCAAATTACATACTAAGAGAGAGAAGAAGTGATTCTAGTACGGGCTTTAGGTTAACCATCAACTTAATGAGCTGCCATGAAATATCAGTCTTTGATATATTGAAAGAATAAACATCATTTCACTTTGTAAGCTTATTCTAGACACTGTGATTTGTTGCCAAATCATATCCAACATTTCTCAACAAGATATAGTGCAAACTCTAGGATTTGCACGGCCTAACAATAACATTCTCCATGGTCTCTTTCACAGATAGATAAAGTGCTGCATGAATTCCTAGCTTTGAGCCAGAACCCTCCTGCCCAGCAGCTGGTTTTTTGTAGAGCTTTCTCAATAATTCGGCCCATTCCGCGTCAGTGACTTTGGGATTTGCAACGCGTGTTCCTTTGACATCAACGAAATCCGCAAAATCATCAAGCTTGTATCTGAACTGCTTCTTCTTGGTTCTCACAGAGATATCGTTGTCTTTCAATCCCTGTATGAGATCATTTGAATATTCCACACCTCTGAGATAATGCACGCGCTTGATGGCTGTTCTCATTTGACTGAGGTTAACCTGACTTTTCTTTTCTGCCTGCTGCATGAAAGCTTCTTTCCGGAATTTTGTACCAATCTAAGCTTGTTAATACTGAATATTTATAAGTCAAGTATAAAACTGACCTCTTTCATCAGTCTCGTGACAACCTGTTCATCATCTGACTGCCCTTGAATAATTCTCGTGCCCTCGTATGTGCCCGTAAATTGCTGAGCCATAAGCCTTTCAGCTCTCGTGTCGACATCCATATCATCGGTAAAGCCCGTGGGCTTAACACCTGCCTTTTCTTTCTCAATGTAGGCGATGAATTCCGCAAAGTTACACCGTTTTTTCGCGCCTTTGCAAGCGGGAGCAATGATTTGAGGAACCCCATTGTGAACATCGGCATCAACCTGGTAGGCGTACCAGTAAAAGACTCTCTCATAGGCGCCATAGTTGCTGTACGCAGAGACTAAAGTCACCGCATAAGCGGCTAGAAGTAAAAGAATAGATTTCATCGCCCAATTGGTATCGGGGGGACTTTGACACGGAACTTCTTGAATACCAAATCGAATATTAGGATTGGCATAGGATGATATAGCTACATCACCCCTTTCTAATTTTTCTCTCTCCGACTCTCTAATACACTGCCAAGAGCACTAAGAAAGGGTCTAATGCTGGCCCCCCTTTCTGTGAGATTGCATTCTCGGTATGAGAAGTTCAGAGGCCAAGTATTAAATCCTCACAGGAATCAACGTCTTTTTTCCATTTCGATTCGCGGTAACAGACCTGATTTGGGAAAGTATAACGGTGATTAGCCCCCAAGCTTGCTATAGGATACATGTGTACGAAGTACGAAGTATAGAAATAGCTATACGAGAAATACCAAGATATTATACCTCAAATAGGCCATATTCCCCAGGAATCGATGTAACCCGGGGGCCGGCGTATGGGCGCTTTTAAAGTCCTGCCAAGATATACTAAGCATCCCCGGAACTTGGCATTTCTATTCAGATCAAAGCCAATTGGACAATATAATATAATTTGTATATGGAATGTTAGTAGGTGTTTTGCCAAGCCTCATCTTGAAACAGTCTAAGTATATATAGGATGGTTCCTGACGGCCCCCTGATAAATGATCGGCGCAGGATCAACTTATTATATTTTATCATATGTTGCCAAGCCCTAAACAAGGTAGGAATACCAATGGGAAAGGAAACAACATTATAGACACTCAGTCTAACAGGAATCTTTCGGGTTGCAATGGGATGCATGTGCCTTGCCCAGATATGTACGGAGATGAGACCAAATCCTGATGCTACGGAGTACACTCCGGACAGGCACCGGAGATGATCTTCTAACTTATTGGACCAGTAGTTGAAATGAGTGTAAATAAAAATTGGACTATAATTGCCTCTAACTTATGGTCTATGCAAAAAAAAGGGTCACCTTAGACCCCTCTCTGCCGACTATCCTTTCTGGGACTGTTTCTTCTGTCTTAAAGTCGTCCTCTTTCTGTTATATTTACTTTTTATTCAAATTTCAAGCTTTCATTTCCCACGGCCTCTAAGGTCTGAACTTCCAATCTCAACAAAACCATGCTCGTCCGTTGGTTGGCGCTGGCTACAGCCCTCACCTCCGTGGCACAATGCGAGTTCTTGTCTGAGCTTCATGCTTGTCCAGATGTTTGTCATGCGGCGACCGATTCATCCGGCTGGACATTGTATAATCGAGTGGACCGACTCAATGCATGCAACGAGACAATGCTTCTCGAATTCGCATTGCACAGCCCGCTTGCCAATTCCGAAACACCCAGGTTGTTTGCATGCACACCCGACAGTACTGCAGATCCCAAACAGAAAATCACATCTGTAACTTGTGACTCTGGCAGTGAATTTGATGCCTCCCCTGACCTGGTATGGTCTGGAGATGTTGCCTCGGAGAAGTCGGATACAGCCATCTCGCTTGTAGAGACGATGCACGAGCAATTGCAAAAAGATTCCGACCGTGGTACCACTCTCAAATTTGGCTATTTACAAAAGGCTATTGTTGGTGTCTATGCTGGTGGAGAGATTCAACCTCAGAGCTTCGCCGATGAGTTCTTTCCCAAATTTATCTCCTATCTGAAGGACACCCAAGTTCCTCAACGGCTTGCCCTTCAACACTGCGCTACAGACGCAAAACATATAGTTGGAATCGTCATTGACACAACGGGTGATCTAGCTGGCGTGCAAGATGTGGTCAAGGGCTGGAGCCTTGCAGACTGTTCCTCTGACTGGGAGCACAAAAAGGAAGGTTGGAGTCAGATGACTCTCCAAACTTCCCAAAAGCTACACAAACGCCAAGTGAAGTCACCAGCCATTGCTGCGCGAGACACCTGTGAATATATCGAGGTCTTTGCTGGGAATACATGTGGGGTACTGGCGAAAAAGTGTGGCATCAGCGGAGCTGATCTGACCAAGTTCAATCCTAAAAAAGACCTCTGTTCAACTTTGAAGCCAGGACAAGTGATATGCTGCTCCAAGGGCAACGCTCCCGATCTCAGACCACAACCGAAGCCAGATGGTACCTGTTTCACCTACAAAACCATTCACGATGATACCTGCGATAAGATTGCTGCCGCCAACCGAATCACCGTCAAAGATATCATGGCGTTCAATAAGGAGACATGGGGCTGGGCGGGCTGCGGCGATGAGCTAGGATCTAGCCAGGTTCTATGTCTCAGCCTAGGCGAGCCCCCAATGCCCGCAGAGGTCTCTAATGCTGTATGTGGTCCCCAAGTACCTGGAACCAAAAGACCCACTGGCAGCACCAAGCTAGCAGATTTAAATCCCTGTAAGCTGAACGCCTGTTGCAATATCTGGGGACAGTGTGGTATCACGGATGATTTCTGCATTGAATCTAATTCAACCACTGGTGCGCCTGGAACTGCCGCTAAGGGTAAATCCGGCTGTATTTCCAATTGCGGGAATAAGCCAAAGGCAGGTAACCTCCCCTTGGAGGATTTCAGAAGCGTCGTTTATTATGAGGCATGGAGCACCACCCGACCTTGCATGAACCTGAATGTTGCGGACGTTCAGAAGAAAGGAGACCCAAAGTATATTCATTTCGCCTTTGCCAATATCACAGCAGATATGGAAGTTGACATCTCTGATGTCGAAGCCCCATTCAACACCTTTGCGGGGTTGAAAGAAGGAGGCAAGCGCATCCTCTCTTTTGGTGGATGGGCCTTTTCCACTGCACCCGAAACATTTCCCATCTTCCGCCAGGCTGTCACGGACGCTCAGCGGCAGAAGTTTGCGGACAACGTTGTCGCATTCCTGAAGCTGCACGATCTTGACGGCTTGGACTTTGACTGGGAATATCCTGGAGCTCCAGACATTCCCGACATCCCAGAGGGCAGCCCCGAGGATGGAGCAAACTACATCAAGTTCTTAAAAATGGTCAGGGACCAGCTGCCAGAGGGTAAGACGCTATCTGTCGCGATGCCAGCTTCGTATTGGTACCTCCGTGGATTCCATCCCATCACCGAGTTCGAAAAGGTCCTTGACTACGTCATCTACATGACCTACGATCTCCACGGACAATGGGACTATGACAACCCCTGGGCTGTAGAGGGGTGCCCAGCTGGAAACTGCCTCCGATCCCATGTCAATATCACAGAGACGAAGTTGTCTATGAGTATGCTCCAAAAAGCGGGTATGCCCGCCGAGAAGATCGTCATTGGTATCGCCAGCTATGGTCGATCATTCAAGATGACCAAGGAAGGCTGTTCAGGCCCCATGTGCACATTCACAGGCCCCAAATCCGGTGCTCGGAAGGGCCGCTGTACCGACACAGCAGGATATATTGGCACGGCAGAAATCAATGAGATCATTGATACCAACCCAGACGTTGAGCATACCTTTGATGAAGATTCGTATTCGGATATCATTGTTTATAACAAGACTGAATACGTGGCATACATGAGCAGGGATCGAAAAGCAGAATGGGAAGGCATGGTCATTGGCTTTGGCTGGGGTGGAGTGAGCGACTGGGCCGTCGATTTGATGGATATGTACACCCAAGCCTCCGACGAGGAGATCGAGGTGAAATATTGCGGCGACAGTTTCGATACACTGGATGACTTGGCCAAGGCCGGTGACGACGTTCCACACCTCTGTGTCAATATCTACGCGTTGGGTATTATGAGCAAAAACTTCAAGTCGGCGATGTCAGCGTACAACGATCTCATCGATGATGGTTACGATGACAAGTTCGAGGTATACGAGAGATATGTCAACGAAACTATGTACGACGAGATTAAAGAGTACATGACAAGCCATGCCGAAGACCGCTTCCATTGCCTCAATAACGATGAGGACGACAAGCCGGTCTCCTGCCCAACCTCTATACCCACCGATCGGATCGATGCGCCAGACAGAATCACCTATGTTCTGGATGACCAGAAGGGATTTTACAAAGACATGATGGACAAGTATGGAGTTGATAAATCCTGGATCAAGTTCGGTGACCTGTGGGTGTATGTTGACCCCGGCTGCCGCCCTCTGGATGGGAACGTGACAAGCTGTGAGCGATACTGGCACGGCTGGCCACTACGAGACAACGAGCATATGAGGGTTCCAAACCCCAAAGAGACAATTTCAGGGGCAATGAAGAACCTCACAGACTTTGGCAATCAGCTTGACGAGTCGGCATATGACGCAAGCGCGTTCCTCTACACTGAAGATATCTCAGATGCGCTCGAAGCATCTGAGATGCCCGTTTTCATGGTTGAATCTGCTGTTGAGCAGATGAAAAAGGTCATGGAAACCGCAGACAAGATTACAGCGGAATACAAGAAATCCATGATCGTCAACTTCGCAGCTGCGTTTTTGATGTTGGTCCCTGCGGCGGGTGAAACCATCGGAGCTTTGGGACTGGCCACCATTGGTAGGGTTGTTATGCTTGCAGGGGAAGTTGGAAATGCAGCATTCGGTGTGTATGGGATTGTCGAGGACCCCGAAAGTGCTATTTTCTCGATCTTCGGTGCACTGATTGGGGTCAGGGGAGAGATGGGCTTTGCACGCGCTGCTGAGTCGAGACGGGGAATGTCAGAGAAGGAAACTTCTGCGCTTGGAAAGTTTGTCCAAGGGCGCATGGATAGTGCAAAATCAGTGCAGGCAAGGTCTTGCAAGGTATAGATATACTTACGAGTACTTGCAGTTAGGGTTTATTAATGTCAGGTGATTTACCAGGTATAGTCTTTCAATTGGTCGATGAGGATTGAGTCAGTATAGAAACTATTAATTTAAGGGACGAGAATGCCAATATAGTAGCATCGTTTCTTAAGTTGCATATACCCTGAGAAACTATTAGACGAAGAAACAGCATTTGGATCCACCATATTGACATCCAGTCCTACAGCCCTCAATCTATATTCAAGTCCTCTCAGATATATTCCACCGTCTCATGAAATATACAGACCCGTCGGGGGCTTATACTCTGGCCTAGAATTACGAATCCCAAATATCACAGAAGGAACAATAATAACAACAAGAAGAACAACAACCCCAAAAATCGAACCAAGGATAATCCACTCCCACCGATGAGACTTATGACGCCTGACCGTCCCTGTCTCAGACTGCAACTCCAGATCTTGTGTCCCGTTTGCTGCAGATTGTAGTACCTTGGCGTCTGCCTGGTCTGCGCCTGTAGCCTCAGCTCCAGCTCCGACTGCAACCTGCTTTTCTGTGTGTCTGCCGCCGGCATATTGATTGAGTTCCAGGTTGCAGTCTCGGTCACTGAACCCAAGTGTGCAATCCCGGTCATTAACTTCCAGGGTGGAGTGCCCATTCAGGCCGTGTTCGATGGTTGATCGGGGTGGGTATGACGCTGCGACTTCTTTGTATGTGTCGGCGTGGAAGGAAGTGGGAGCATTTTGCCGGAGCGGGTTTTGTGTTTCCAGCGGCACTTTTTCCATTTTGAGTCGTTGTATCATTTGTATCTTTTCTGTCCTGGTAAAAGATTAGCAGATGAACCTTGAAGAGCATGGATGGAGATATCGAGTGTTGCATACTTCATATGTGAAACTTGCGGTGTAGTAAGAATGGGCATCGAAATAGGGCATTAAAGAGTATATCTTATTTGATCAGAGCACAGATCCTGCTGAGCACTGGAGGTTTGTAAAGAGGGAAATTGAGGCTTTGAGGACCTCGCAGGGCTAAGCTATGTAGATGAATAAATGACTCCTTGGGAAAACCGGAATAACATGCGCTTGGATCACATGCTAGAGAGTTTTAACTATTGATAATTCTGCATTTGAATTTGAATCCTATTGTCCCTTGATTGCAATTGCCGTGTTGGAGTGACGCTACTGCAGCTGATATATCAGATCTCGTCGACCGCCCTAATAAATACTGAAACTTTGCAGGGAACTTTGATCACTTCTGGGATTAATGATTGATGGGACTTCTAAAATAAAAATATGAATTTTAATTGCTAGAAGTAACTTTCATTCTGGTTGAGCAAGGTGTGGAGTTTCGTAGTTATATATTGTTCTTCAATGCCATTGGCAACATAGTCAAATCATGCAAAACCTATCTAGTGCCAATAAATATCGACGCAATGCGGTGAGCCATTCATTTTGATCTACATTGCAGGTCATGGCGTTTTTATGAATAGTTATTGTTGAGACATGAGGCCTGGATAATCAGGCACCAATATCGACAACATGCTCCGAACGTCTGCATACTTACTATGGAAAGTATTCGTTGACAATGTCCTTGATCATGGTAAGTCGTTGATCAGGTGGTCTTTGAGCTTCATATCTATCTAATCCCAGGATAAGATGTTATACTACGGCGGGCCTCCCTAGCATGACTCGACACTATGTTTTCCCCGAACCTAACAAACCAACGAAGAAATGCGAATAAAGAGGTATCAAAATCTTTTATACAGAGGCTATGTCACATGCGCGGGTGCAAACGAAGACGGAGATGCCATAATAAACAGGGAGAAGACAGAACTCCTGGTAAGAAAACAAGTAAAGAATAACGGAGCTAAGTCCGGAGTCCAAGGGGGATGGTGTTAACATCAAGAACACACATCAAATCCCAGGAGAAACCATCTCCCAAGCAGATCGCAGAGATCATCCCCAGGTCGAGATTCCGAAACAGAACCCCAGAAAAGAGAGCTAGCATTTCCAACACCTAATCTCTCGACTCAACATCAGCCTCCTTCTTAGCGAGCTTTTCACTCTGCTTCTTGGCAAGGCTGAGCTTGGAGATCGCCTGCTCCAAGACCTCAACACCATCCTTCCGGAACTGTGTGACCTTCTTCACATTCAACCTTGTAAGTGAGTGCACGAGATCCCGACCCTCCTCGCGCTCGCGTGCCACCGTGCGCGCCGTCATAGCGAAACGAATGTCTTTCGGCCCATCGACCAGCTCCAGGATGGCGGAGGGAGCCTTGACCTGGGGTTTACGCTCTCTCTCGAAGTTCTTGACGCCCTTCTTAGGGGAGAAGTACTCGTTCTTTTCGCGGGGTTCTATGCGGAGGACTCGTGTATAGCCACCTGGTCGGTCTGCGTAGCGTTCACGGAGGGGACCAAAGAGTTTGGGGAGCAGTTCGTGCGGTGTCTAGGCGACGTTAGTGTTGTCATTTGTTGATTTTTTTTTCTGAACAAGGATATATTGGAAATTGAAGCACTCATCACGGAATTAGTAACCCCATGATTTCTCGTGACTAGACTAATTCCTGTCGAAATTGGGATCGGGATGGGCTTGTTGTCCGGGAACTCAACGTACGTAGAAAATCTCCAATGCTCGTCGCCGACTGGCTTCGGTGTTCTTCTTTCCGAGGGTAATCAACTTCTCAGCCAGGCGCTGGGCTTCTTTGGCCTTGGGCCATGTTGTGGTGATTGACTCGTGCTCGAAGAGGGAGGTCACCAGGTTTCGGAGCAGGGCCTGTCGATGCGCGGAGTCGCGGCTCAAGTGGCGGTATCTGCCTCCACCGCCAGCCATAGTGAGGGTTGCTAAGGGAGAGGAGAAGGGGTAGGAAAAGGCCGAGTAATTAAAAGTAAAGTGGGAATCGCGAGGTCAATGGCCAAACCAAGGTGTTCCTGAAGAAGGAGAGAGGATGTTCGGCCCAGAAGAATTGTCCTGGCCAATCGGAGGACTTCCACCGCCTGTCCGACTTCAGTTTTCCGCCTTCACTCTGCTTGCTCGAGGACGTTTAGCTTTTCGAATACATTTCAACTGATATTTTGATTGCCGACAAAAGAACATATCTATAATCACGAAACACTTGTGCTATTTGTCGCATTTTCCATCCACCCCCACGAATAATCCGGCAACCCGGCGACCACAAACACTACAACAAATATGGGCTTCTTCACGGGCTTTGTATGGCTTACCCTCAAATCTATACTAGGTAACAAGGACTAACTGAATTCACATTGGAATAGCTTGGCGGCTTTGCCTTTACCTCATCCGTTCTCTACATTACCATCCAAGTCCACCGTTCAACACGCATATCACAACGCAATGCCATCCACGCGCAAGTCGAGCAAATAGACTGGTTGACCGCATCTTCAGGCGCCTATGACCGGCGTTACCTACCAGAGGACATACCAAGACGGCGGCGTGAAGAATTGGAGGCGCAGAAACAAGCTGAGCCGACTATGAAGGAGATACTCAAGCACAAATGGAATAAGGAAGTGGAGGTATTGACAAGGAAGGCTTATGAGACTAGGTGGGAGGATGTGAGAGATGCTGCTGCAGAAGGCTGGCAAGCTGCTGTACGAGTGGTAAAACGGGAGTGAAGGATCATCTCTGGGACTATAGAAAAAGCTTGGCTTAAAGGAATCCTTGGATGCATTATCATGTCTGCTTGTTTGGGTCTGGGTTTGAGCACCGGAGTTTGGATACCCTTGATTTAGTTATGTCATAATTTATGTCCATTAGTATTATTATTTCCCCGAGGGGTATTGTAAATGCGTCCAGCGCATTCACAGATGGGATAGAGATATGAATGCAGTGCGGCAAGACCTGGTGATGACCACGATCAGTCCTGGGCCGTTTGCAATGGCCCGCTGGGGGAAAAAAAAGAAAAGAAAATGTAGCAATGGCGGGTGTGCAGCTGAGCCAACTGAAAGACTCAAGAGCTCAACTCGTATGAGTTGATGACGGCGCAGTAGTTGTGACACTCTCCGAATCACTCCAGATATCCTTGCTTTCCCGCTCAACAGTGCGCATAGCCTGAGCCACCTCTTCCAATTTGGCAACGACATCCAGAACGCCCTGATTGACCCGATCAAAGTACCGGTCATTGGCCTCGCGGCGCTTTCGAGCAAGACGAATGTCTTTCTCCGTCTCATCGTCCAGCGTGCGGTGTAACACCGAGCCACGGCCTGCGCTAGTTTCTGTCGCTACATCATACTGTTGGCTGGACTCTCCAGCACCTCCCTGCGCTGAGTTGGCTTTTCCACTGTCTTTGTCGGCACCACTGTGGCCGGGATCCACAACTTCATCGTCTGCTTCACTGCGCGCCCATGCTTGGGCGAGCTTCAACTGTTTCATACGTAAATCTTCCAATGCTTCAGAGTGCTTTTCACCAAAGACATTCTCGCTCGTCACAGCGCTGAGTTCCACTTCTGACAAGGCGCTCTGCATCTCCTGCCAGATGGCATCGGATCCGTCTACATCATTTTTAGAGGGGCGGCGCGATATTAAAGGTGATAACAAGCTCGACTTTTCAGGATTTTCGCCCTCGGCTCCGCGAGGTGACCGGTTCCGATGCAGGGGTGGCGGTTGACTGCCGGAGGCAGTTGATAACGATGAGGCTGCAGGTGGTACGGATAAGGATATATTAGAGGCATTATGCGATGGTGGACCTTGAAAAAGGGCTGGGGGAGGCAGGCGCTGAGGATTTGGATTGGTGAGTTTTCTTGACAAATCCATCTTCAACGAATATTAGAGAGAACAGCAGACATCGAACATCTGTATGGGGAAGGTTGATGATGCGACTGATAATGTTATCGTTATCAGTACGCTGACATAATCAGAGGTGGGGGCTATGGCTATCCCGTGACTCGCTTAGGGCTAAACGCACAAAGTCACCTGAGGTGCATCCAAAGCGTGTGGTAAGGGAAATCCGGAACTCTTCGACTTTTCGACAATCGACCCTCAGCCCCTTTGGCCGACAACACCCCTCCCAGTCGGTACGTATTCGATATCCTGCTGTTTCCCTGCATTGTTTGTGCTTTTCCGAAATATTCTATTCGTATCATTGCAAGATCCTTCAACGATCGCATCCATTTCTACGCACAAAATCGGCCTTCGCCCAATACCGAACCCGCATCGAAAACACACACAAATAGCACAACCACCGTTACACTCGAAACGAGGCTAACAATTTTTTTTCTCGTTCAGTTGACCGTCGAACACATAATCCGCCAACATGGGTAAAGGACAACCCCGTGGTTTGAACGCCGCCCGCAAGCTCCAGTCGCACCGCAAGGATCAGCGCTGGGCTGATGACCACTTCAAGAAGCGTCTTCTCGGAACCGCTTACAAGTCCTCCCCCTTCGGAGGTGCTTCCCACGCCAAGGGTATCGTTCTCGAGAAGGTCGGTGTTGAGGCCAAGCAGCCCAACTCCGCTATCCGCAAGTGTGTTAAGGTCCAGCTCATCAAGAACGGCAAGAAGGTCGCTGCTTTCGGTGGGTAATCCCGTTCCTTACTATTTCGTTATGGATGTGTTGGAAAGGTCTATACGAGTTGGAATCACGACAAGATGGAAACAGCCACACAAACACCCACAAACATATGCTAACCAGCATGTTTCTACAGTCCCCAATGACGGTTGCTTGAACTTCATCGATGAGAACGACGAGGTCCTGCTCGCCGGTTTCGGTCGCAAGGGTAAGGCCAAGGGTGATATTCCCGGTGTCCGTTTCAAGGTCGTCAAGGTCTCCGGTGTCGGTCTCGCCGCTTTGTGGAAGGAGAAGAAGGAGAAGCCCCGCTCTTAAACAACTCGACGCGTTCTGTTCGAAAACAAAAATGCAGCGACCGGGAGCCTTGGAG